ATTGAAATTAAATTTGTGTTTAAGAACACTCTATAATGAAAGAGTTTTAATACAAAAACTGATTTTACATTAGTTCAGAAATAATTTCCAAGGTTTGTGTATTACCGGTTTGGTCTTCCTTTTAAATATGTATTAGCTATTTAATGCAGGTTAAACAGCAAAATAGGAAACACCCATGTGGAAATTGAAATCGATCTTATTAGGATAAATTAATAGGTCAATACTACTTATAAAAATATATATATATATATCTTTTTTTTTTTTTTTTTTTTACTTTAGACACTCATATTTATCATATGGTAATGCACATGCATTCAGTTACATATCAATTCAGAAAATTCCCAAGGGAATTTTTATTTTTTAAGGTCCGACAAAATGTATATAATGGTATAAGTGTTTGTTACGTCAGGTTTATAAATATTAGTCAATACACACTGCTGTCAGTACTGTCTGTATCCTGATCAATATTGGACACCACTGTAGAACCTTCATCCTGTATGATGATAAGGGGTAAATATCCTCTATATTTGTATGGAACAGATTCTGGCAGATCTATAATGTAGTGATAAGTTTGGATGTGCAAATATTTCTAGATATGACTAGTTATTTACAAGTATAAGGCCTTAAGTATTGATGTTTACAATTATAAGACCTTAAGTATTGATGTTTACAAGTATAAGGCCTTAAGTATTGATGTTTACAAGTTAAAGGCCTTAAGTATTAATGTTTACACGCTTTAATTTGTGCCTTTGATGGTGACATGGTTGTCATTTTTGTTATATTTCTGGCTGTCACTGGATGTTAACATGTTTTTGCCTCTAGATTTAAACATGCATGTTGAGATGTTCTTGGCCATGGACACTTCTATAAACTCGTTACTTTAATGTGTATCATTTTAATCATATGCTGACTGAGCTAGTTAAGTATATATACACTTGTGTTTAGCTGAGTTTGAGGAAGGAAGATACATCTATGTTTGTGCATCAAGTATATAAATATATATTAGATTCATGGGACAAAATCAAGGACGAAAAAAATGTATTGTTGTCTGCTGTGTATTTGGTCACTTTCCATAAGTTTCCAATGTCTTGCCTTTGAAGTTGTTTAGTTTCACCTAATAGTTAGTAATTTTTTATTTTATTTCCACAACTGGTCAACAGTGTGTCTTGAAAAGCAAATTGAAGATTGTACAGTATCAAAATGTATGCCCATTATTTTGTAAAATGTTTGATTTTTGTATGCATACTGGTCCTTGTGTACATACTGGTCTGTGTATACATACAGGTCCTTGTGTGTACATACTGGTCCTTGTGTATACATACAGGCCCTTGTGTACATACTGGTCCTAGTGTATACATACTGGTCCTTGTGTGTACATACTGGTCCTTGTGTACATACTGGTCCTTGTGTATACATACTGGTCCTTGTGTGTACATACTGGTCCTTGTGTGTACATACAGGCCCTTGTGTACATACTGGTCCTTGTGTGTACATACTGGTCCTTGTGTACATACTGGTCCTTGTGTATACATACAGGCCCTTGTGTACATACTGGTCCTTGTGTATACATACAGGCCCTTGTGTACATACTGGTCCTTGTGTGTACATACTGGTCCTTGTGTACATACTGGTCCTTGTGTATACATACTGGTCCTTGTGTGTACATACTGGTCCTTGTGTACATACTGGTTCTTGTGTATACTTACTGTTCCTTGTGTGTACATACTGGTCCTTGTGTATACATACAGGCCCTTGTGTACATACTGGTCCTTGTGTGTACATACTGGTCCTTGTGTATACATACTGGTCCTTGTGTGTACATACTGGTCCTTGTGTGTACATACTGGTCCTTGTGTATACATACTGGTCCTTGTGTATACATACAGGCCCTTGTGTACATACTGGTCCTTGTGTACATACTGGTCTGTGTATACATCTGGTCCTTGTGTGTACATATTGGTCCTTGTGTATACATACTGGTCCTTGTGTATACATCTGGTCTGTGTATACATACTGGTACTTGTGTTTACATACAGGTCCCTGTGTGTACATACAGGTCCCTGTGTGTACATACTGGTCTGTGTATACATCTGGTCTGTGTATACATACTGGTCCTTGTGTATACATACTGGTCTGTGTATACATACTGGCCCTTGTGTGTACATACAGGCCCTTGTGTACATACAGGTCCTTGTGTGTACATACTGGTCCTTGTGTATACATACAGGTACTTTTGTGTACATACTGGTCCTTGTGTACATACTGGTCTGTGTATACATACTGGTCCTTGTGTATACATACAGGTCCTTGTGTATACATACTGGTCCTTGGGTACATACTAGTCTGTGTATACATCTGGTCTGTGTATACATACTGGTACTTGTGTTTACATACAGGTCCTTGTGTGTACATACTGGTCCTTGTGTACATACTGGTCTGTGTGTACATACAGGTACTTGTGTGTACATACTGGTCCTTGTGTACATACTGGTCCATGAGTACATACTGGTCCTTGTGTATACATAGTGGTCCTTGTGTATACATACAGGTCCTTGTGTGTACATACTGGTCCATTTGTACATACATGTCCTTGTGTGTACATACTGGTCCTTGTGTGTACATACTGGTCCTTGTGTATACATACAGGTCCTTGTGTGTACATACTGGTCCTTGTGTACATACTGGTCTGTGTATACATCTGGTCCTTGTGTATACATACTGGTCCTTGTGTGTACATACTGGCCCTTGTGTGTACATACAGGCCCTTGTGTATACATACTGGGTCTTGTGTACATACTGGTCTGTGTATACATCTGGTCCTTGTGTGTACATATTGGTCCTTGTGTATACATACTGGTCCTTGTGTGTACATACTGGTCCTAGTGTATACATACAGGTCCTTGTGTGTACATACAGGCCCTTGTGTACATACAGGTCCTTGTGTGTACATACTGGTCCTTGTGTATACATACAGGCCCTTGTGTACATACAGGTCCTTGTGTGTACATACTGGTCCTTGTGTATACATACTGGTCCTTGGGTACATACTGGTCTGTGTATACATCTGGTCTGTGTATAGATACTGGTCCTTGTGTGTACATACTGGTCCTTGTGTGTACATACTGGTTCTTGTGTGGACATACTGGTCCTTGTGTGTACATACTGGTCCTTGTGTGTACATACTGGTTCTTGTGTGGACATACTGGTCCTTGTGTATACATACTGGTCCTTGTGTGTACATACTGGTCCTTGTGTGTACATACTGGTTCTTGTGTGGACATACTGGTCCTTGTGTATACATACTGGTCCTTGTGTATACATACTGGTCCTTGTGTGTACATACTGGTTCTTGTGTGGACATACTGGTCCTTGTGTGTACAAACTGGTCATTGTGTATACATACTGGTCCTTGTGTGTACATACTGGTCCTTGTGTGTTGGTCCTTGTGTGTACATACTGGTCCTTGTGTGTACATACTGGTCCTTGTGTATACATACTGGTCCTTGGGTATACATTCTGGTCTGTGTATATATACAGGTCCTTGTTTGTACATACTGGTCCTTGTGTGTACATACTGGTCTGTGTATACATACTGGTCCTTGTGTATACATTCTGGTCTGTATATATACAGGTCCTTGTGTGTACATACTGGTCCTAGTGTATACATACAGGTACTTGTGTATACATTCTGGTCTGTATATATACAGGTCCTTGTGTGTACATACTGGTCCTTGTGTGTACATACTGGTCCTTGTGTATACATACTGGTCCTTGTGTACATACAGGTCCTTGTGTATACATTCTGGTCTGTATATATACAGGTCCTTGTGTGTACATACTGGTCCTAGTGTATACATACAGGTACTTGTGTGTACATACTGGTCCTTGTGTACATACTGGTCCATGTGTGTACATACTGGTCCTAGTGTATACATACAGGTACTTGTGTGTACATACTGGTACTTGTGTACATACTGGTCCATGTGTGTACATACTGGTCCTAGTGTATACATACAGGTACTTGTGTGTACATACTGGTCCTTGTGTACATACTGGTCCATGTGTGTACATACTGGTCCTTGTGTATACATTCTGGTCTGTGTAAATACAGGACCTAGTCTGAACTGACTGGTCCTAGTGTATACATACAGGTACTTGTGTGTACATACTGGTCCTTGTGTACATACTGGTCCATGTGTGTACATACTGGTCCTAGTGTATACATACAGGTCCTTGTGTATACATACTGGTCCTTGTGTGTACATACTGGTCCTTGTGTATACATACTGGTCCTTGTGTACATACTGGTCCTTGTGTGTACATACTGGTCCTTGTGTACATACTGGTCCATGTGTGTACATACTGGTCCTAGTGTATACATACAGGTACTTGTGTGTACATACTGGTACTTGTGTGTACATACTGGTCCTTGTGCGTACATACTGGTCCTTGTGTGTTGGTCCTTGTGTACATACTGGTCCTTGTGTACATACTGGTCTGTGTATACATACAGGTCCTTGTATACATACAGGTCCTTGTGTACATACTGGTCCTTGTGTGTACATACTGGTCCTTGTGTGTACATACTGGTCCTTGTGTATACATACTAGTACTTGTGTGTACATACTGGTCCTTGTGTACATACTGGTCCATGTGTGTACATACTGGTCCTAGTGTATACATACAGGTACTTGTGTGTACATACTGGTACTTGTGTGTACACACTGGTCCTTGTGCGTACATACTGGTCCTTGTGTGTACATACTGGTCCTTGTGTGTACATACTGGTCCTTGTGTGTACATACTGGTCCTTGTGTATACATACTAGTACTTGTGTATACATACTGGTCCTTGTGTACATACTGGTCCATGTGTTTACATACTGGTCCTATTGTTCTTTGACAGTTGTAAGGTATTTTTAAACTTAAAAAAACCCCAAAATCCTGCTATTATCCTTAACTTAAAAGTGTTTGCAATAAAGTCATCCTTTATTTCCTCAGGTACATTTGACAGACAAGGTCAAGAAACTACATTCACATGATCAGAGACAGGCTCCTGTACCCTTTTAAAGACCTTGACCCTCGGTAGACAAGGCCAAGGTCAGAGTTGAGGGGGTCATCATGCCCCATTCTAAGGCAGGAAGCCTCAAAGATCCTGATATTGCAGGACTCTTCTTTTTCAACGATGACCCGGAAAAAATATTTGTTGACCTACGAGAAATCGGCCATGGCAGTTTTGGTGCCGTTTACTTCGTAAGTATAAGAAAATCTAGCACTAAACTGAGTCCTTTGATAAATTCAGGAGATCAACACAGCACTCATGTCAAGTACAGAATAGATGCAGATATGTAAGAACTAATTTTTAGGTATGGTCTTATTGCTGGTGACCTACAAAAGTGTACATTAGGGGCTGTATGATATCGCAACATATTTAAGGCATCTGTAATGAATTTCGTTTGATTCTAGATTTGTGGCCCGTCATGATCATTTGTGTTTGTTATACCTTTTCTATTGATTCTCTTATCTGTTGCTGTAACATGTCTTGCTTCCAGGAAGAACAAGAAATAATGATTTAAACCAAGGATACGCCAGTACAAGACATAGGTACCCTAATTCGCAACCGCGTACAGGATGATTTTAAGATTGAAATAAAAATATCATTCTTTTGGATTTATATAGCTTTTAATATGAGTTGCAAAAATATCTTCTGAACTTTCATGGTTGCTTCAGAAGCCATAGCAGTTTACAATAGCCTGTTGCCTATGGAATCGATTGATCATTGGGTCAAATTCTAATGCCATGCTTGTTTATGATAAGAATGGCTTTGTGTAACTTACAAGAAGAAATAATATTGAACTTTAAGAATTTTGTCGCCAGGCGAGGGCCTTCGCTTTTATTTAACAATACAGACACCGATTGAGATATTGTTAAGTAAACTGTATGTAACGTCAGGTCCTATATCTGCGCAGAGACAATATCTGTGCAGAGACAACCTTTTAAGGCTCCAAAGCCAAACAAGTTTGATAATTGCTATTTTATGCTTTCAAACACATCTTAGATATAAGGACTTAATAATAATTAATTTGCAAATTTATATTAAACATTTCACTGATGATCTTGATAAATTGACTTCCGTTGTCTGTTATATCAACAAATTTGGTGAACATAATGGTTACCACATCATAAGAAAGGATGCAGCATATATTTCGGTGTGTCCTATATGTAGATCAGGTCACTAAGAACCAGCACTGCTTCTTACATTATGGTCCATTTTATAGCCAGGAAAATACAGTAATATCACACATAGTTCTTTCCAAAAAAGAAAAGTTCCTAAAAGGACAGGATGACCAGTAGCATTTCTTGTTTCATTCCTTCTTATCCGCCATATGTAAACTTTCTGACATTTTAAACTTTTTCAAGTTCCACCAGTAGGATTGAGCTGAAATGGTTCTGGCAAAGTGTTGTTACATTTTGGGGTCCAAAATTCAATATGACTTCCATCTTGAAAAACACATTTCAGATTTCTTCTCAGGTTCCAAAGATGCCATTGAGCTGAATTGGTAGGAATATCAACGAAAGCGAAACTCAAAAGAAAATTTTTATTTGATTTTTGTCCACGTCAAAAGTTCAATATGGCAGCCATGACAATAAGTTAAATTCCAAGCTGTTTTAATCATTTAATAATGGTCCTATTGCTATTAAATGTTTAAATGTTAAATCTTTAAATGACTGTTTCTGAATATTACAGGCCAGAAATATTGTCAACAAGGAAATTGTGGCCATCAAGAAGATGTCTTACAATGGGAAACAAGCCAACGAGGTAAGCAGTTAGTGTGATTATCTCCCCTTTCTTAGGTTAGATGATTGTAGTTCCCTTTATCCATATATTCAGGTTTTTACCGTTAGTCATAGTTAACAACTATTCATCAATTTATTTCGAGATGCAAGTCCAGTGTTTCATTGATATATTAATATATTTCCTTAAGATAGGACTTTGATCCTTATGTCCTGTGTGACAAATATTTATCAAGATGTTCCTTAAGATAGGACTTTGAACCTTACAATGTTAGTCCTGCATGATAATTATTTATCAAAGTATTGTTTTGTAATTTGGTCTCTGATATATCAAAGATTTCTGAAATAAGAGTGAAGTTTTCAACGTTTATGGCAATCTTTTCAGAAATGGCAGGATATCATCAAAGAAGTGAAGTTCCTGCGACAGTTAAAACACAGACATGTTATAGACTACAAAGGGTGCTATCTCCGTGAACACACAGCATGGGTAAGGGTGCCATTAAAACCATGTTGTTCTCATGGATGTTATCTCTGTGTGTATCTGATATATTTCAGGGCTCTCACACCCCATTTTGGGACTGGGGCCCGGGGCCCTTAGATTTGGGAAAAATAATGGTGTTTTCCTTAGAATTGGGAGAACTTGGGGTCTAAATTGGGAAAAAAAGATGCTATTTTGCATTGGGAATAGGGCCGAATATCGGCCCAAAATCTGGCAGATCGAGAGCCCTGTATTTGATGCCACCCATCTTGCCTCTGAGTTTAGAGACATCTTTATCTACAAAACAAAAAACATATATGGCAGAGTTGTCTGGTTGTCACCAAATTGGCATTGCCTGTCAAATATATTATAAAGTTGTTCAGTTGTACATCCCAATAAATAAAGACTATATGTATCAAGATTGCTATATCATTGCGTTTTTGCTACTAGGTGTACATGTTCCCACAAATACACCTTAGTAAATGTAATGAGAGTTTATTTTTACTTCAGTCTTTGTCAAAGACTCAACTTTATGCATTTTTGTGTTTTTTGGATACACAGAGGGATGAGAAAATATATTTTGTCTGTTGAAGGGAAAATTAATGTATTTCATTATGCTTGTTGCAGCTGGTGATGGAGTATTGTTTGGGCTCGGCCTCTGACATAGTGGAAGGTCAGTAATATGTTGTAGGTGTAGACAATGAGGCTATAATGCCTAGCACATTTGAATGAGATTTATATGTACTATGTGTGTGAGATATAAATTCAATTCAAAATGTAGGACTGATCTACAAATACTACTGGTTAAATGTATTTAAGTAAACAATGATAGATATCAATCTCCGGTAGCTGTATTTAAGTATGTATGATCTAAGAGATGAGATATGTTGCTGAATGATTGAAAACTTTTCATCTAAAACTTATTCCAGTTCACAAGAAACCTTTGAAGGAGATAGAGATTGCTGCCATCTGCCATGATGCTTTGGAGGGCCTAGCCTATCTACATACTCAGGGCAAGATACACAGAGACATCAAGGCGGGCAATATACTGCTGACTGAGAACGGCACCGTAAAACTAGGTAAAACAGGAGCACGTTTCTTTACAAGATGAAGTGCTGTATACTAATACATGTCACTAATCAGTAACATTACTTACAAAAGCTTTGCCAGTGTCCTTTAATAAGACCATCCCTGACTCCTTGGCTAGGGGTAAGTGTTCACCTTCTTAAGACCATCCCTGACTCCTTGTCTGGGAGAAAGTGTTCACCTTCTTAAGACCATCCCTGACTCCTTGTCTGGGAGAAAGTGTTCACTTTCTTAAGACCATCCCTGACTCCTTGTCTGGGAGAAAGTGTTCACCTTCTTAAGACCATCCCTGACTCCTTGTCTGGGAGAAAGTGTTCACCTTCTTGAGACCATCCCTGACTCCTTGTCTGGGAGAAAGTGTTCACCTTCTTGAGACCATCCCTGACTCCTTGTCTGGGAGAAAGTGTTCACCTTCTTAACTCCTTGTCTGGTAGAAGACCATCCCTGACTCCTTGTCTTGTTCACCTTCTGGTCTGGGAAAGTCCTTGTCTGGGAGAAAGTGTTCACCTTCTTGAGACCATCCCTGACTCCTTGTCTGGGAGAAAGTGTTCACCTTCTTAAGACCATCCCTGACTCCTTGTCTGGGAGAAAGTGTTCACCTTCTTGAGACCATCCCTGACTCCTTGTCTGGGAGAAAGTGTTCACCTTCTGGGCTTAATGCAGGTATTTAGAACAAAAGTAAAACTCATTATCTTGGAAAATCAGGGGTTGTGCTGTAACTTCTATTCTACAGAAGATCATTAACAATAAAAAAGTTACTGTTACATTCACAAAGACCATGCTTTATTGGTTGGACAGTCCTGAAAATAGGTCACAGTTATATATTCCTGACATTGTTTATTATCAGTCATTTTCTTGATCACTGTCATGAACTATGTATATCAGTAGGTATAAAAATGTCAAATTAATTTTTCAGCAAATACATTTTACCAAGCAAAATTACCCAGAGAACCAATGAATGAAGCATTTATCTGATTTACGTCGGATTAAGACTGTCTCAGAATATTTTCTAAACTCTTTACAGTTTTGTCAGCATGAAAGGACTTCTTTTATTAGAAGTTGAAAAAAAATTACATTTTGCTTCATCTGAGCATTTCTTTATCAACCAGCGGACTTTGGGTCAGCATCCTTGATAAGTCCAGCCAACTCATTTGTGGGGACGCCTTACTGGATGGCCCCGGAAGTGATTCTAGCTATGGATGAGGGTCAGTACGACGGCAAGTCGGATGTCTGGTCCATGGGGATCACGTGTATAGAATTGGGTAAGTTTTTTTTGTATTTTAAATGGCCTGATTTCTTGATTGTAGTAACCATTTTAGATGTTCCCTGTTTTCTGTGATTGAACACACTTACTGACATTGCCAATTAAAAGTTCACTTGTGAACATCCACTTTCTTCAATAAAAAAGTCACAAAAGAAGCACAAGCCACCCATATTGAAGATGTTAATGATATGATGCCTTGTATGATTTTCTCTTGTGTTAAAGATGATTTTACTAGCTGTCCCTAAAGTATTTGTGTATATGACTTATATTTCAGCTGAGCGTAAGCCACCTTTATTTAATATGAATGCCATGAGTGCTCTGTATCACATCGCCCAGAATGACCCGCCCACTCTGGCGGGAGGGGAGTGGTCTGATGACTTCCGCCACTTTGTCGACTCCTGCCTCGCCAAACTTCCCTGTGATAGGCCATCCTCCTCAGAGATTTTAAAAGTAACGTCTGTTTAGAAACATTATTATAGGCTCACGCTTGTAGTTAACAGATTTTTAGTGGAAATTTATCTGCATGTTAGCAGACAAAATTTACATAATTTTTACCAACTGTATAATATATAATTCAGTATTTAAAGGTTCTCGGTCGATTTCAAACTGAAAGAATTACCCGAGATGACATTGACCATGCTGTAACATGGAACTATTGAAGAAGGAAAAAAAAAGTTTTTTGAAATTGTGAGAATTTGAAATGAAAACAATCATTTTGCCATATGATTTTTGTCTGAGAAACAGTATAGGAAAGGATAAAATAAGATGATTTTTCAGACCATATATTCTTACAGAAATAAGTTAGAAATTATTCATATAATAATTGATCTGTTTTATAGCATCATTTTCTGGAGGGAACTGGTCCCAGTAGTGTCATTATAGACCTAATTCAGCGCACCAAGGACGCAGTCCGAGAGTTAGACAACCTTCAGTATCGCCGCATGAAGAAGATTCTCATGGTGGATGTAATCGAGGGCGAGAACAGTTCCAATGGACCAACATCTGATGACTTTACGACGGACGATTCTTCCCAGGTCAGTCCATGTGACCCCTCTCTGGTAAGTCTGCTCCCTATTCAGCTTGACGGTTGCTGTGTGTCCAGTGGTTTTTGCCTGCAGCCTGCATGCTGTCTGTCTGTGTTTTGACTCACTGACCACTGTCCAGACTTTTGTCAAGTAGGTACACAGAGAGACTGCTGTCAGCTACCCTGAATGACTTCTGTATAAGGGACTGACCATTGTATTGAAAACCGCTCAATATCACAGATAATTCAGGTCTTTGGTCAGTGATCTCAGTATTTGTTTTCCAGTCAGTTTTATGATGACTGGTTTTTCACATGCACCTGGTTAGTGTGATGAAATGATCAACAAGATGACCTTTATCAGAATACCTCTCATTAATGTTACTGGAAAGTGAAATGTATGTACCTCAACTTTCCAACTATAAAGAGAAACACTAGCTGAATGGCCTGTTACATAGATTCACCGAAAAGGGTTGTCACCATTATTTTGTGTTGCATATATCTTAGATTTGTTAACTATACACTCCAAACCAATACACACCAGTTAGTGTCAGTTGATTGAAATTAACATGTATAGTCTCTTAGCATTAACGTTAATGGAAAACGTTGGAAATATTGAACATTTTGAGGAGCTCTTTCCTTGAATTTTTTTGGTTCTGGATTTCAACACAATTTCATGTGCAAGTTTGTACAAATCTGTTGAATATGAAATAAACAATTAAGTTTTTATTGATCAAATTCTTGTAATTGTGTGATTTTAAGTTTAGCACATTACAGTGATAAGTGCTGATGTTTGTTGGTTTCCAGTAAGTCCATTGGGCCTTTTTGCTGCTACATTTGACTGAACCACACTTTTCAGTTTTTTACTGTACTGGCAAAGTTTGAAAAGGCATGTGTATCTGGTTTTCAACAAAGCAAAAAATTGAAAATGCACATGATGGTCCAATCAAAAAAAGATATTGGAATTTCGTCAATTTTAGTTTTTATTGGCTGTTACTTGCTTCTCCAGTTTGAAGTTATGTGCATTTTCTTGTTTGTTTTATACTTTAACTTTGTGATTTTCAAATTTCAAATAGTTGCTATCATGTTAAGATTAACCAAGCTATTGATTTTGTCAGTATCCTTATTATGAAGTCATGCACGATTTCAGTCCTGTTTATAGAAATAGATGTGCAAAGAAGAACTAATGTATTTTGCTTAGCTAAACATTTTCTTCGTCAAATTTTCCAATGTATCATTTTTCCTAATTTAAGTAAAAAGTTCAAACTTGACTTTATGCTGATCAGTACTTTTGCATGTACTTGTTAAAATGTTAAAAAAAAATTAAAAAATAGTCTTTAAAAATATGTTAACATTGTTAAAAAAAATGCTTCAAATTTTCTAGCATGATCATGAGTTTTTCTTTGATAGCCAAGTCATATTTTCAGATCATTTTTCATTTGATGCAGTGCCTGTTCATTTGATTGTTGTTGAGCTTTTCATTGTGAACAAGTGTAAACCTTTGTAATGGTTCCCTTTTAAGTATGTATGCTACGTTTCTATCACATTGTATATGTATCTCCTTCACAAAAGAGTTCCGTACCAATTATGAAAATTTAACAGATTTTGGGGAGATATGCCTCATGTATTTTACAAATATAATGTGTAGGTAATCTAGCATATGTACTGTCAATGGTCTCTTTCTCTAATCTTTTTCCTTAATCTAAAATTTCTGACTTCTAATAGATCCGTCCATTTACATCTTGGATTGTAATATTGGTTCAGTAATCCTGGAAATGTTCAGCGACACATAATTATTGTCACAATGGCAGTAATATTGATGTTAACATGTACATTTTGGGTTTGTCATCCAATATTATGATCCTGATGAAACATACGGAGGGTCTGTAAAACGCCAGCCTAAGACATGTTGATTAACTGTCTGCCATGTTGTGTTGCCAGGATGATGATAATATAGACAGTAGTACCAGTAAGTCGAGCAGTATGACAAGTCAACACTCGATGCCAAGTAGTAACTTAAGTAGCAAGTCCAGTAGTCAGAGCAGCCTCCAGGGTATCTCCACCGACGACAGCGCATCGACCTTTCCTCGTGAACGCAGTGTAAGTAACAGCCCTCTCCTCGATCAGCCACCTGTGAATTTTTTTACTCTTATTTTGACTATTATTAGTCTCTAGTGTTTGTTGGGATATTTCCTTGTTTTTATGATATGGTTTTTTTTTTTCACAGAATGTGATTTATATTTTTTTTCTCAACATGATGCTAGTTATAGCTGTGCTCTTTAAGGATGAGAACCTAAGTTTTGGCATTTTTCGATGAGCTGTTTACAAAAATGTGTTTGCTTCAATAGTTGTCTTATAGGAAATTGGTATCAAGGCATTTAGAAATTTCCTTGAAATATCAGTGTAAATATATTGATAACTCTGCTATAGATTCTGATGGTTAAACACCATGAGTGTAAATGTATCTGAAACACTGTTACAGATTCTGATGGTTAAACACCATGAGTGTAAATCTATCTATAACACAGATTCTGATGGTTAAACACCATGAGTGTAAATATATCTATAACACAGATTCTGATGGTTAAACACCATGAGTGTAAATATATCTATAACACAGATTCTGATGGTTAAACACCATGAGTGTAAATCTGTCTATAACACAGATTCTGATGGTTAAACACCATGAGTGTAAATCTATCTATAACACAGATTCTGATGGTTAAACACCATGAGTGTAAATCTATCTATAACACAGATTCTGATGGTTAAACACCATGAGTGTAAATCTATCACAGATTTGGACAGTTGATGGTGTTGTGTCATTTAGATCCTGTGTCTGGCTTGTATGTTTAGACTTCTTGGTGTATTTTTCTTTGTATTATTTTGTATCCCAAAACATAATCTTTGTTTTACTGATGGCTTCTGGGATGTTATTGTACTATTTCATCAAAACAGATCATTTCCTACCCTGAGTAATAAAATTAAGATGTTGTGTTTTCAAGTAACAGGTTTTTGCAAAGAATTGACTTAAATAGAAGTAAGGATTTCTTTTTCATGTAACTCCAATAAGCAATATTGCCCTTATTTTGTTCCTGAAAAAAAATGTTGTTCTTTAATAGTCTTATGCTTTGAAACTTTGATTATCTCCCTTTGAATTTATGTAAATGAGTTGATAGAGTATATAAAGATACCAATTATAAAGTCCTTTTGTTTATTAAAAATTCTGGGCTGTAGATTTATTTTTCCTAAACTGAGAAGTTATTGTTGTCCTTTGACCTGTCTTAATCATATGTTAATGGACTACTTTGCCCTTTGACCTATGAATCCTAATGTGGTTTTTCCAATGTCTCTCTATAGCCACCTCCCACTCTTCAGTCCTACATCCTACAGGTAATGAAGTCAACAATGGCATCGTGCCAAACTTGAAGTGTCTGTGCATCTTGTGGTAGTGTTTGTGTTGCAAAGCGCTCTTGCTGCATCCTGAAGTCCTTCTAACATTGTTTCCTCTTGGTCCGTCTCCCATCTCTGTTTAATGAGTTATGGGTGTGTAGAAACTGTGAGAGGGCAGAGTTTTATGGTGTAATTATGATAATTATAGATAATTTCTTTAGCAGTAAATAGAATGACAATGATGGACAAAGTAATAAATATGACATATATAGTAGAACTTAAACTTTTCACTGGTCAAAATTTTTGTGATTTTCTTTTAAAAATATCGAATTTATTTCAACGATTTAAATGTAAAAGAATATTCCATAGATAAAAGTTTTATTATTTCTAGAATGAAATTTTGTGATCACTCTAATGTACAACAAATTTTCCCACGAAAATAACCAGCTTTATGGCATGTCTGCCCTCGATGTTCTGTTGATAAAACACTTATACGGGAATATCAATGTCGTTATGATATATAAACTACTTTGAACATTGCCCTTTGACATATGAATCTTAATGAGGTGTTTATGTCAGTTTCACAACAAACAAGAAACATAAACAAACATTTCGTTTGTTGAGAATTTTATATTAAGGAGATACTATTGTGACAGTAGGAATGATGTTGGTTGTTTGTTTTGCCATATTGTAAGGAAGGAATCTAATTTCAGTTTTAAAATAGATGGAAGTACAGAATAATTATACAAGGGTAGTCTTTGTGAAAAAGCTCTTTCCAAAATGTACGACCAACTTCATGCTAGGCTTGTTTTGCACTTTCTGTATTTCATAACCCAAGATCTAGTACGTTTTAATGTTGAAATGTATACCCTATGTTGCAGTTTAATGTGAATGGCAAAAAATAACATATTATACATGTGGTGGCAAAATAAAGAAAAAATTTATTTTTGTTTCCATGTTGCATTAAAAAAGAAATAAAAAATAGAAATTGAAGTATAGCTGTTCAATACTATGTAGAAAAATTCCTGGTTATTTTGTGGTCAACTGGTTTTGTAACAAGGAGTTTGAAAATTGATTTCTTTTGTTAGAAGATAATGATTGTGTAAGCTATTAATCATAGATTTCCCCGTAGTGTTTTCTTTGTTGACATGTTCCTGTTGCAAACTACGTTGGCAAGGGAGATAATCAGCCTGTAACCTTACTCTCACCTGCATAATTATTGCAGTACGTGATCTATGTGATTTTTAAAATGACAAGTGTTAATCTGCTTTTGTGCATCACTAACTGTAGTCTTCAATTCTTGATTTTGTGGATTTAAGGCTTAGAAATTTTGTTGTCATTGACTAAGTATTTTATGGGTCTATGACATAGATTTTTTGTAGTCTTGATTCAGTGACTTTGTAGCTTTAGGAATATTGTTTTGGTAGTGTTTAATTTTTAATGATTTTGTTGGTTTAAGATGTAGATCTTTTGTTGCCTTTAATTCAATAACTTTGTAACTTTGAGAATTAACTTTTTGATAGTCTTTAATTTTATGATTTTTAGTTTAAGACTTACATAGTTTGTGGTTTTTGATTTGGTGATTTTTTAGTCTTAAGACATATATTGTAGTCTTAATTGATTTTTTTGTTAGGTTCACTGCTTAGATAACTTGTATTACAAGTCTACAATTCAGTAGGTTTAAGTCCTCAATCTTTTGTGGACTTAAGTTCAAGGCTTGCATCTTCTGAAGTCTTCAGTGTCTTTCTGGGTTTAAAGCTAACTTGTTAGTGTTTTGCATGATTTTTGTGTTGAGAAATGCTGGTTTTGTCATTGAGAATAGTTTCATAAAAACCAACTTTCCTAAAATAAAAATGCATGTTCCTACAATGTCAAGACTTTGTTCATGCATTTGAAAGTACCATAATAATAAATGGAGAATTCTAGATTGTATGTAGTTTAGTAGAAATTTAAACTTAACCTTTTAAGATGTTGTTAATGTCTAGATACTTGTGTAGATATTAATTCATTTGTAGAGTTGTGACTTTTCTCATTCATAACACATCTAACAATGCTGGATGGTGTGTGTTTTAGTGTTAATTTTTGAATGCATACAATGAATGTTATATTTCTTGTATAAGGCTTGGGACATCTATCTTTAAGATCTCCGAAGGTAGAGCATAAAATTGACACTTTGTCTGTCTGTCTGTCATAATTTTGTCCAGAGCATATCACCAGAAGTATAATCGGTATCAAAATGAAACTTCATAGTTAGAGAGATCTTGATAAGGAGAAGTGCAATGTGCAAGAACCATAACTCTCTTTTGCTTAATTTAGGAGTTATTGTCCTTTGTTATTTTGTCATATATAAATAACCCTTCAATCTCGGATTCCTTCTGGCTGCCATTTATCATACATATTTTTATGTTTTGTAATACTGTATTAGAATTTTTTAAAATTGAGATATTGGAAAAAAAACACGAGAAAAAAAATTTTTGATTGAGCGTTTATTTGGGGAGCATCCATCAGATCTACTTATTCTCTTTTCGATCAAGTCATGTAGATTTAGAAACTGTTCAAATCCAAAAGTACAAGGAACATTACAGAAAGAACTTCAGATTACACAAGTTTTACCTCCACATTGAAGACCGCCTGTACTAGGCAAGCAGTCCTGTCTCTTTTAAAGGCGTTTTCTCATCCAAACAAAGCTGCTTCTCAGTCTGATGTTGATTTTTCACACTGGATAGACATGCACATAAAGTTGGATTTCAGGTCTACAGGGGTTGCCAGAATAGACCAATTTTTTTTCCAATCATGCTTGATGAAGTTGATTTTGCATTGGTCAATTGATTAGATGAAATGTTTAAAGGCCTGTTGTTGATAATACCATCATCTGTTGTCAGTGCAAACCTGAATTCCATGATTTGATGCTTGGGTCAAAGTTCATCTTGTTCATTTCATTGTCATCTTGTTTTTTCTACCTACAAGGACTGGTCCCTGCCTCAAAGGTCAAGTTGTTACAGCAATGTTCACCCCAACAAGGTATGCCTCTCCCTAGGGGCTGACCCCAGAGGTCACGCCCTTCCAACGGGCTGGCCTGAGAGGTTAAGCACCGGGTCATAGCATGCCTTATGTCAGTATTGTATATAAATATATATATATACAGCATGTTCTTCTGTCACTTTAATATCAACAGTGGGCACAACCTCATTTGTCACTGATCATCTGATTGGTTAAGAAATTGTTTTAAGCATTACGTGATTGGATGTATAAACAAAGACTTGAAATAACAAAGTTCAAAATATTCTTTACATGTATAATGTTTCATGTGTCACTGAAAGTTTTCAATTCTAATGAAGTATTTTTGAAAAATACAGAAAATATTTCAAATTTTAACCAGGCAGTGGTTTGTGACATTTCAACTTAAACCTGGCCCCACGTCACCATGGAAACTGTTCTATTTATGGATGCCTCAATTACACATGATTTTAACTTTTATCATTGATTTTTTCATATGTTTGTATTTAGCTGCTTTTAACTTGACAACCATTAGTCCAGGATAGCCGATGTCAGAAATCCTGGTCACAGTCCGTTTTAATTTGAGTGAGAAATATAAATGGTTAGACTTCAGATTTAAAATATTGATCTCTTTTATATCTCCAGTATTGATGTTTTCTTGAAAGTAACGCAAAAAGTTCTCAATATTTCAAGAGAAAGATTTTGTGGGCAAGAGAATGAAAATTATGGAAACATCCTAATTCATTTATAAAGGTAAATTTTCAGGAGCTTGTAATGAGTATAACATTAAAGACATCAATGTTTGTAGAGCTGATGAGACATGCCATAAGTAGTAATGGGTCTAGATTTTGATCTATATATGTTTACTGAGCCCAAACCTATAAACGTACCATTAGCAGTGATCCTGGTCTGATGGTTGTCTGCTTTTCATTAATGAGGTACACAATATTGTATTGTTTTACTCGGTGTCATGGTCACACTATCTGCCGATTTTGTTCACACAAGTCACTCCATTTATATCTATATATATATATCATATGACTGTCACATGACGTTTTACATAATCATATATATATATATATATATTATAGAAGGTAACTACGACCTTGTATCACATCAAAGTCCCCTGATTTTGAGTTCTGTCATGTGATCCTCATGATCTGTTTTGTACACGGTCATGTGATGTAATTACATGATATGAATAACATACTATATAACCAGTACCTAGTTATATACTTGGAATAGATAATGTCCCATTTACTTAGAAAAGCATAATCATATTATCAACAGTATACAAGAAAAATTATTAACAGTTATAATATCCTAGATAACCTGGATTCCTCAAACCAGGCCTTTTATGTTGAATCGTGGAGAAACAGATAACATTGATCAATGTTGATATCATGAAATTGAATTTTACAAATAAAACCCAGAAAAACCGTCCAACAGAAAAACATAGTATGTATTGTGATCAGGTAGACCCAATTTACTAAAATGTTGACCTGTAAAACACTTACGTATTATACAATCCTAATTTCAAACTTCGAAAAATGATATAACCAATTTATTGTGCAGGACACTATACTTCAAATTAAAAAAAAAAAAGTTATCATTTTTTTTTTTTTTAATTTTAGTAACTGTCAGTTAATGGTATTTGCTAGTTTTTGGTCCTGGTACTGATGGCCATGTCCATATCCGAGTTGTTACCTACTGTAGGACATATTACCTTGGTGCTACCATGTACTAGTAAACTTTGTTTCCATGGTTGTGCTAAATGTCTTGTGTCAGTGCTGCCACCTTTATCTACTGTTCAAAAGTATCTGTCGGTGCTGCCACCTAGTGGTAGATTTTCTGTTGGTGCTGCCACCTGGTGGTAACACATGAGATGTAAGTGTTCTGTACTCATTTTAAATGTTGTTTTGTTTGTTGATAGATGTTTCAGTCTCCTCTGCTCTTTCTCAACCTGGTATGAAAACATTTTATTTACCAAATTTTCAACATGCATGGTTTATATTGTAACCTGTGTATCGACCGAGATCTTTGTGTTATGACAATGAAAACAACAGACATTTTATTTTCATATTTTGAAAAAAAGTTCCTCCTTTTTTTTTCGCGTATCGTTCTGATTTTTTTGGTCACATTGACTAAAATCTCTCGCTCCCAAATTGCATGTCCAAATGTATGTTGTACGTAGAGTTGAAGAAAGTCCAACTGTTTGCATGGAGTTGATGGAATGGATGGCTAGAATGACTATTGACCTTCACAAATTTTCAAGGTTATTAGTGGACGACTTCTGTAATGTACGTCATTATTCTTATCTTTGATACAATGTCAAGGTTGTTCCCAATGCTGATGATGATGATGTTTTACATTGGTAAATGGTATATATGATACATTATAAAGCATACTAATTAAGATATCTTAAATTATTAGCGTTTGACAGTATATGGCTTTGTAGAGAAACATTTTTCCATTTTATGATTTCTTGTTCAATTATCAAAAAGACAAAAAAAATGTCTATTTATAATGCAGTTTTTATTGTCATTTGAATTATTTCAAACTGTGTTTACTGAGAATTTTAAATATAGATAACTAACTTTATCTTGTCGTTGTATTTTAAACAAATTGAGCCTCATTCTGAATATCTTGTGTAATTATAAAATATATTTCATTCAAAATGCCATATATAGAGAATGTGAAAAGCCTTCAGTGTGAATGAAAAGATTATATACCCCTCTAATAGATTTTCTTAAAACTGTCAATACTTTTTTAAATAGTTAAGATACAGCAATTTAGAATTTATCTGGGGAAACGCTTTCAACATTGTAACAGTCATTAACGTTTCTCTTCTGACTTTAGTTAACATTATCATATAGTAAATGTTCTATACATATATCTCATTGCTCAGCCTGCTCATTGCTGTGAAATACCAATTTCAATTCACAGTATCAGATTAGTATATGTAAGTGTCCAACTTGGCTGAAATTCCTCCAGTCTTCTTGAATGGCATCATGGAGTTGAGACTGATTGCTGTACATATTTCTAAGGCCATGCAAAAAAAATTGTTTTTCTTTTATTTAGGAAGGCCTGAAAATGAATTTAGCAGGTTTGGTTGAAGAAGAATGTTGTTTTATAAAGTTCAGAACAGTTCCTGGTTCTTTTTGTAATTTATTAGATAGAAAGAACAATTAATAAACTAAAGAAAACAGCAACAAGAATTCTCTGTGAAAAGTTGTTAAAATTTTCAAAAATATTGTAAAAAAAAAGACAAAGTTTATTTATAAGAATGTGTAATTAAGGAAACACACAATTTTTTGCTTGGCCTTAGAATATTTGTGCCTGTGAGCAAGATAAAATGGTGAAATTTTAGGAATGTATGCAAGCATCAGATCTGTTCCAATATAGCATGGACCTGAGAGGGATTTGTGAAGAAGATGTAGAATTAGTTGTGGTCCTGTCATACTGATATATCCATGGTGACCTTATTGGGAATAATCCAATTACATGGTCAACAAAAGCAAATTTATCCAAATTTTAAATAATACAGTAAACCTGATGTCAGTTTGAATAGGCAGACAAAATCCATTTTCACTAAAAACAATCATTTGACATGTATTGATAGTTTGAACCCTTTCTAATTTGTTCTATTTACAGTTTGAATGGTTCAAACACATTGTGAAATTGTATATATCCCTTAGAAATGATCACTCCTTGTTGTCACGTCACATCAATAGTATACCTTTTGGGTAGGGGACTGTAAATGAACATCATAAGCAACTCATACCACTAAATCATACATGTTTCTTCATTAACATTGATTCAGTGTGATTTCTTTCATGTCTGGCTTTCACCTTGTGCAAGCTGACACAACTTGAGGCCCCAACTCTCATGGTGTTGTGATTAGTGTATTGTGAAAGAGTAACAGTGTTTCACTGTATATTTTGATAAAGATTATGGTGTCTAGAGACTATCCCTATTTATAACATCAAATACATAATTACAAGACTCATAGATATGCTTTGTAAACACCAGTGAGATGATTTTAACAAACATTAATCCTTAGCTATAACTTATGATATTCAGCCATTTTTGGACAGGCATGGCTGGTCTCTCAAACTGCATGTGCAAAATGTTCAGCAGTGTTTCACATCCAACCATTTCAACCGCTTACGTGAAAGCATCCTCAATCTACAATCAAAATACTGATATATCAAATATATTTACACAAATTTTCATCAATACACAGGCAGACATATGTTGGTTTTTCAGGCTCACATGATTACATGATGAAACCTATTATTTCTTGATCAAATTATAATCAACATTATTTTTTCAATATTCCAAACAGGTCATTACTGATGAAGTGGTTTCCTGCCTTGCTAGGACAATTTTTAAACACTTTTTGGGCAATGTTGACGCTGATAGTTCAAACTTATTTGATTTTCACAAACATAAGTTCATATCATTTGAATGGGTTCAACGGTACTTCTAAAATTTTGTTTAGACTGACAGAAGGTCTACTGTGAAGTTTATTTTTCTATAAGGATCTTGTGAACTATAAAACCATGTATATGATGTTTACAACAGTGGGGTAACAGCTTTTTACCAGTTACACGTTCCATACATGACAAATCAAGATCTATTTACATCTGTAGTGGCAATTTTTGTTCAAACTACATACATGTATATTAAGATTATGCATTCTCACATTTCTATGTAACACTTCATCACATCTTAGTTATATCAACTATCATTACAATCACTCTTATCACTGCCAAACTTGTCTAGTTTTCTGTCAATGTGTCATCCATCATCCTCACCTCATTCTTTTTCATCCTGGACAATAAATTCTATGGAATTTCTTTTCTAATCATGCTCCGCTATCTTATTTAAGATTGACCTGAAGATGGAAAAACACTGAATGATTATTCAGGGCAGATTTTAGTGGTGATTCAGGGCAGATTTTAGTGGTGATTCAGGGCAGATTTTAGTGGTGATTCAGGGCAGATTTTAGTGGTGATTCAGGGCAGATTTTAGTGGTGATTCAGGGCACATTTTAGTGGTGATTCAGGGCACATTTTAGTGGTGATTCAGGGCACATTTTAGTGGTTATTCAGGGCAGATTTTAGTGGTGATTCAGGGCAGATATTAGTGGTGATTCAGGGCAGATTTTGTTCCCCTGTCAACCCTCTTATGCCTATATGATCTGTTGATATTAGTGCTTCAACACAAGTTTTACAAAACCTTTATGTTATCCAAACTAAACGCATGTCTGGGACATCTAGCCATTCTAGTGATGTCACAAGAAAAGAATGCTGTTTACAGAGAACTTAAAAGATAGATCAATATCTTGAAGAGACTGGGGAAAAAAATGAATTCAAGTCATCGTAAAGAAGTCTTGTTTTACAAGACTTTGTATTGAATCATATGAAAATGGAAGTATCTAGATGTTGATAAAATAACTGATTTTTTTTTTTTTGCCAAAAATTCATTAACTTAAATAATTCTCATTCGTGACTGCGCTTGCTTTATTAATATACTACCTTATGCTACCTTACTATGAATTTATTCCTTTACAAAAGAGTTCCCTAATTTTTAAAAAAACTTTGAAATATTTTTTCTGTAAACTGATAATGGGTTGATACTTTAAGGATATGTCTGCTTTCACTGGGAGTTCTAATTACAAAATAATACCAATTAAAAATTTAAAGGATATACAACCCTTATCAATATGTGTAATGTAGCATACATTCAGTGTATTGTCTATTTCTTTAAAACATCTTCATCTTTGTGTTTTAAAAGAAAGTGAAAGTTTGTAGCATTTCAGTCAAATGGAGCAGTATGGATTTATTACAAACAAAAAGGTGTTATTTTACTTTGTTTATTGTGTACATACAAAAGGACAATTGTTATTTTAGCCTTCGAACTCAAGCATAAACAGAATGGAAGCTGGTGCCAACAACTTTGCCACAATCCGGACGACCCATCTCGTGACGAAACAGATGAAGGAACACGAGCATGCTAATGATATGAAGGAACAATTTACAGGCTACAAGCGAATGAGGAAAACCCATCAGAAACAACTGCAACAGGTAAAAGATTTGGAAACAAAAAGTAATGACACAGCTGAGCATGTGCTCAGAATCATTAGCAGACCTGTAATATTGGTTTATTGAAGGACAAAAGTTGAGGTGTGGGTCAAAATTCGGATCAGCATCCATTTTGTATTCCAAGAGGTCAAAAAATCATAGTAAGAAGCATTTATGATTGAAATGCCTAATATTTAGAATTACAGCACTGGAGGGGATGTGGCTGTGATAAGCGTATTTTAAAACTTTAAAAAACGTTTAAAATACTGATATAAGTGATACTTGCCAATGTGTTTTTATATAAATTGAAATTTTGCGATGGTCATGTCCCAGGCAGTTAGCTCACTAACAGAAGCAGCTGTACAGATCTGATCTATAAACTCCACAAATTAGAACAATCTATGTTCAGTGATTCATTTTGCCAAGTTTTCTAGACAAAAGTGAGTTTTTTTTTTTTATTTTTCCCACAAGGAAGAAACATATTTTCTGAATTTTCAAGAAAATGTTAATGTACTTTCCTAGTGTATGCAGACATGTTACAGTTTGTTGGTACTTTTTATTCCAGCACGAGACGAAGTTCCAAACAGAAATGGAAGAGCATAAACAGAAGCTGGATAAGGAGTATGATAACTTGCGACAGAAATTCCTTATTGAAATGGAGAAAATTCGCAAAATGCAAGCAGCTGACCAGGAGAAGATGGTAAGCATGTGTAAATCCTGACCATATCAATTTACGTATGATACACAAATTTTGATATATAAAGAAACTTTGTGTTTTTTTTTTTTTTTTAATGGAAAATATTTAAATGCACTTTCTCTGACATTACGTTAGTGAAAGTTCTTTGTGTCCATGTCTTTATATGTTTTTTTTGGCTCAGTAAAGAAGAAAACAATGTGAAGAAAAATTTGTTTACTATATTAAGCTCAATGGTCTGATACTAATTGGTGGTAAGTTTGAGATTTACATAGATACTCACTCCAGTATAAAGATGACCAGGAAAAGTTTTGGAAAATGCCAGCTATTGAAAATTTTGAGACTGACTAGGTTGTACCTATAGGAATGATACATTCATTGCATTGAGATTAGAGGAGTCAACATCATGACTATTGGTAATATAAAGATATTGGATCAGGTTAGAACAGTGGAGAACTGAAAATATAATGCTAATATTTATGTAGATTAACTTTCAAAAGAATAATCTTTGTTGTATACTCTTATAATAACATATTTACTTTTCCGCATTGTAGTGGCTTAACTTGTCTGGTGTTGTTTCTGGATTGGGTTACATTGATTGTCTCCCTTGTTTCAGGCACGCAATAACCAGGGACTGGAAAAGAAACTGGTAAAACAAATATCAACGTCACATGACACAGAGAAGAAGACGTTTTCAACTATGCAGAAAAAAGAATACAAGGTCAATAAGGAGCAGATGAAGAAGGTAACTGACTCAGTTGGAAGATCAGTTTAGAACTATGCCAGCTTTCGAGGACAATGGGGTGTTCTTTTCTCCGTAGTTAAACGATGTAATGGCTTCAAAATATTTTAACTGATCAATGTGATCTTGAAAGCAAAGGTCGATTCAGTAAGGAATCCTTTACAATTAGTATTTTACAGGCATCAATCTTGCCCCTTACCACTGCATGAACGGAAATAATATTCATCCCCTGATGCGGAAATTTGTATACTGGTACTGTTTTCATGGTTACACCTCTTGAAAGTTTAAATATTTACCCTTAATTATTACAGATCTCCATAATGACATCACATTTCTTTCACCAATTTTTTTTCATGTTTCAAGAGAATTTGACTAAGACACCTTCTTACATAAAGGGTCTGTCACCAGTGTCTGTCATTGTCCACATATTTATTTAAGGTATGAAATCCCAACAATATCCTTGTATTATGTTTTCATGCCATATTCTAACACGTTTTGTACGGTTAACTGGGATGAACTGTATAGTTCCTGCAGGACAACTGTTGTTGATTTGATTCTAGCGTTGTTTTTTCAACAGGAGATTGATGGCAGCACACCAAAAAAGGAGAGGGAAGACTTGGTGAGAACTCACAAGGACCGCCTCCTTCAACGCCAGAGAGAGGCGGAGGTAGGTCTGGAAAAACGACACAAAGACTCCATGGAATTTGAAATCCGCAAGTTCCGGCGGCGAAAACTTGTGCAATATCACCAAAAAGAGGAAGAACATCTGACAGAGGTTAGACTTTAATCATTGATCTAAATGACACTGTAATGCTTGATATTTTCCTCAGTTGTCTCAGTCAGCTGAAATCATAATCACCTATTTGAGTATTTATAGTTTAGTTACGAAAATTTGGCTGATTTTATTATTAAAGTATTCATTTCAAATTACATATTGAAAATAGTTCTTTCTGAAAATGCAATGAAAATTGTGAACAATGGAAATTTTAATGTTTCAAAATACATTAAATAGAAAGATGAAGAAATTTTTATGATGTCATCCTAGTTTTGCAAATATTCCTTCGGTTTTTGCAATCCACCGACTTTTCTCTGAAGGAAAGGAATGAAGTTGGAATGATATCAAAGTTTTGTGTAATAGAGAAAAAGACTAAGAGAGCAGGTAGGTGTCAGAAAGACATGACATGGTTATGTTTTTGCTACTTTTGTTTCAACATAATTTTCTGCTGATTGTTACTGACTTATATCTGTCTGTGACAGGAGCTGAGTAAACGACAGGCTCAGTTGGAGATGGAGCATGCCATGCTGCTACGCCACCACAGCAGCACACAGGATCTTGAGTACCGCCAACTCCAGACCTTACAGAAGCTACGTGATGACCACCTCAAAAAACAGCACCAGACTGAGCGTGACAATCAGAAGGAGTACAACGCACATGAGGAACAGAACCTCCGCAAGAAACATCTGCTGGAACATAAACAGCAACCTCGCAGTCTTAAGGTAAGATGAATATTGTATAAGTGGATTACCCTCCCTTGTGTAAGTGGATCACTGTCCCTTGTATAAGTGTATTATCCTCCCATGTATAAGTGGATTATCCTCCCTTGTATAAGTGGATTATCCTCCCATGTATAAGTGGATCACTGTCTCTTGTATAAGTGGATTATCCTCCCTTGTATAAGTGGATTATCCTCCCGTGTATAAGTGGATCACTGTCTCTTGTATAAGTGGATTATCCTCCCTTGTATAAGTGGATTATCCTCCCATGTATAAGTGGATCACTGTCTCTTGTATAAGTGGATTATCCTCCCTTGTATAAGTGGATCACTGTCCCTTGGTTAAGTGGATCACTGTCCCTTGGTTAAGTGGATTATCCTCCCCTGTATAAGTGGATTATCCTTCTGTTGTATAAGTGGATCACTGTCCCTTGTATAAGTGGATCACTGTCCCTTGTATAAGTGGATCACTGTCCCTTGTATAAGTGGATTATCCTCCCTTGTATAAGTGGATCACTGTCCCTTGGTTAAGTGGATCACTGTCCCTTGGTTAAGTGGATTATCCTCCCCTGTATAAGTGGATTATCCTTCTGTTGTATAAGTGGATCACTGTCCCTTGTATAAGTGGATCACTGTCCCTTGTATAAGTGGATCACTGTCCCTTGTATAAGTGGATTACCCTCCCTTGTTAAGTGGATCACTGTCCCTTGGTTAAGTGGATTATCCTCCCCTGTATAAGTGGATTATCCTCTGTCGTATAAGTGGATCACCCTCCCTTGTATAAGTGGATTACCCTCTCTTGTTAAGTGGATCACTGTCCCTTGTATAAGTGGATTATCCCTTGTTGTATAAGTGGATCACTGTCCCTTGTATAAGTGGATCACTGTCCCTTGTCTAAGTGGATTACCCTCCCTTGTTAAGTGGATCACTGTCCCTTGGTTAAGTGGATTATCCTCCCCTGTATAAGTGGATTATCCTACCTTGTATAAGTGGATTATCCTCCCTTGTATAGGTGGATTATCCTCCGTTGTATAAGTGGATCACTGTCCCTTGGTTAAGTGGATTATCCTCCCTTGTTAAGTGGATCACTGTCCCTTGGTTAAGTGGATTATCCTCCCCTGTATAAGTGGATTATCCTCCCTTGTATAAGTGGATTATCCTCCGTTGTATAAGTGGATCACTGTCCCTTGTATAAGTGGATTATCCTCCCCTGTATAAGTGGATTTTCTTCCCCTGTATAATTGGATTATCCTCCCTTGTATATGTGGATTATCCTCCCCTGTATAAGTGCATTATCCTCCCATGTATAAGTGGATCACTGTCCCTTGTATAAGTGCATTATCCTCCCCTGTATAAGTGGATTATCCTCCCTTGTATAAGTGGATTATCCTCCCCTGTATAAGTTGATCACTGTCCCTTGGTTAAGTGGATTATCCTCCCCTGTATAAGTGAATTATCCTCCCTTGTATAAGTGGATTACCCTACCTTTTATAACTGTATTACCCTCCCTTGTATATGTGCATTACCCTTTCATGTGTACAGATGGATTACCCGCCTTTGTTTAAGTGGGTAACTCTCCCTGTGTTGTCAGCAGTAGGATAGAACGAGTGACATCAGTCTGTCTCTAAGTTACAGTTTATTTAGAGTACTACCAGGTATAACATAGAGGTTTCAATGAAGTCGTTTACATTTGATGAGTATGTAACAGTATTTATAGATTTTGTTTTAAATTCACCATGAAGTAGTTAGGGACATGTTGTATACACCATCTGTCTGTTATGTTGGTGTCAGGGCAGTGATAAATCTATAGGCTCTGTTGGTGTCAGGGCATTGATTAATCTATAGGCTCTGTTGGTGTCAGGGCAGTGATAAATCTAAAGGCTATGTTGGTGTCAGGGCAGTGGTAAATCTAAAGGCTTTAGTTTGGTTATACTTTGTTTTTGGTCCTTTTCCATAAAGAGAATTGTTAAAGGTTCTATTTCTTAATAAAATGTTATTAACGAGGACCAGTTGGATTTGCATCATGCAATTCCAGTTTATACATACCTGTAGTTTAAGCTTCAGGGGTTTCATAGTTCAATTTATTTGTTCATAGCAAAAAGAGGTGTTGATACGAAAGCAGTTTCATGAAGCTGTACAGACGCAGCGCAGACAGTACAAGGCGCTTAAGGAACATATACTGCAAAATACGCCCAAAAATGAACAGAAAGCTGTCGTCAAGAAACTTAAGGAGGAACAGGTCCGCAAACTCAACATCCTTGGAGAGCAGTATGAGGCTAGTATAGCAGAGATGCTACAGCAGCAGAATGTGAGTACTTCATTCAGATTTCTTCAGATCACTTTCTTTAAGTTCTGTAATTTTAAGAACATTCTTATATTGAACACAGAATAACAATGTTTTTGAAGGCCACACTTACAATAATGATAACCTCATTGTTAAGATTAAGAATTGTTTAATGTAAAATCAGAATTAGCTGAGCTCTGTAGTACAAAATGCTCATCGTTACATGATATATGGTACCCAGTGTAATGTCAAGCTAGGATTTGTCCCAACTTTTCGATGCCTCCATGAGGGATCAAATTCAGAATGTCTGGAACATCTGATTTCAATGTCTGATATAACAAGCAAGTAAGAAATGTGTATTTAAAACTCCAATAAACATCAGAATAACGTTTTTTACCACTTGACCAATCAACTCATTTTAGATGCGACTGGACGACTCGCAGGAGACAGAGGCCCAACAACTCAAACAACGACTGCAACAGGAACTGGAGCTGCTCATGGCCTACCAGAGCAAGATAAAAATGCAAACGGAGGCCCAGCATCAGAGAGAGAGGCGACAGCTTGAGGAACGAGTCTCTCTCCGACGCGCACTTCTAGAACAAAAAGTAATGATTTGTTTTTTTGCTGTTTTTTTTTTTTTTTTCTTAATCTAAAGATACAGCCATGTTTCAATGCAAACTTGTGCCCAAAACAATTTAACAATTGAAGCATCCTAGATATTTTGGAAAAACTGTTATTGTTTTGAATTGAAAATTGTTTAAAAGCGTTTTGAGATGAGAACGATTGCAAATAAAAAGATGATAGTTTCTTAGCAGTTTTAAACGTTGGAGAGCAGGGTTAGCATGTATTGTAATTCTTCTACAAAATTCTGATCCTTGAACATAACACTATAGGGTTTACATTTTGTGAAGTTGGTGTCCATAACATTTCACATTAGGGATATTGATATTTCATCAAAGGAAAAAGGACATTTTAGTCTGGTTTTGTAAGAGTGATTCCTATATAATTTTTATGTTATTCTTTCTGAAATCTAACTTTGAAAGAAAGGAAAATAAAAATTTGTAGGACGAAAATAAATCAGAAAGCAGATCAAGAGCAAGTTTTTTTTTTCACAGATGGAGGATGAGAGGAACAAATTAATGGCAGATAGAAAAGAAAAAATTCATAATTTAAAAAAGCGACAGGAACGTGATCTTGACGAGTTTGACCATGAGACTGGAGATATGGGGATGAGTGTCATGGAGGTGGCCCAAGCTTCGTTAGACGCCACTTACAATGATGATGTGTCGAGTTTACGTGGAAGCATGATCAGCCTCACTGCCAGTAGCAGTAGCTTCTCATTCTCTTCACAGACATAAGTATATACTCCCCAGGTGTGATAGCCTCCTGGGGTTTAACTCCTGGGGTTTAACTCCTGGTGTGTGTAGACGTCCAGCTCCTAAGGTGTGACAACATGGCCGATTGATTCGTCACTCTGCACCGCTAGAGAGTAGATTGTCCCTTGGATGTGACTTATACTCTCAAAGTCTGTGGTGTAGGTAATCTTCATCGACCATCCACTCCATGGATGTAATCGGGACATATCGGCTCCTTGGATGTGGTCGCCTGTACAGCTAAGACACTCTACTGCAGTGTCTGTGAAGGGAGTTTGGCAACTGGGAGTGATGCACACGATGGCCCCTATTAGGGATATTTGGGGCTTAAGGGGTCAGTTTTGCCCCTGATTTGAATTTTTAGAGCCCCATGAATGGCCGTGTGTGGCCCCCTAGACTATATAGGGAACTTTGCAACCCATTGGGATCGTGTGACAGACAGCATTGGATGTGATAAATGGATGTGAGGATGTTATTGATAAATCTATATAAATATTAACTCTCGGGGCGACCACAAGGCCAGTTACCTCCACACAGCTTGTGGACATTCAATTATATCATGATTTCGTATTCACTAACCCAATATTAGCTTACTCCGACATTTTACTACTATTGTTTGCAATTACAAGTCAAGTCACGTAACTGTGGCCAAGGGCTTGTTTACCAGTACAGAGAGATTTGGAATATCCCCTGTTCTACGGTAAAGAGGGAAGGGAGGGGTAGGGGGGCAGAAACCCTGTTATCATCCGGTGTCCATTTTCATATGTATATGCACACACAACATACTGAACTTGTACTTATCAGCAATATTATTTACAAGGAAAATCTTAATCTGTCAGTTATTCCGCTTTCAGTCACCCTTATAGTATCCTGTAGACCCTTCTGTTGAGTATAAAGTTAACTAGGCCTCTGTTGAGATTTGGGAGAAAGACACAAGATATTTGAACACACATAACAATTCTTTGTAAGCTAGATGGATATCCCAAATACATTTGCTTTCAGTTTTTTTATAGGGATAAACTGAGGTTTTTTATGTTTTAGTGTCAGTTTTACTGTTTAATGGTGCTTGATACTTGCTATAATACATTTTCTGAGTGTGAGAAAAGATTACTCAGTTGCACCAACAACATATTAATGATACTGCAATACTGATGGCTGAAAAAAATCTTGATGATCAAAAGTAGAATGCACTAGATTCACTTGAGAAATGTGTGATTTTATTTTTAATCTCTGGTTTTAGAAAATTATATTTCAATTGCTAGCTATAAAATCTAGATATTTTGGTTTCCAGTTTAGAAATGAATTTATGATTTTAACTCCTGTCCTTTTGTTTTAGATTTTGTATGTGTTGGTACCTACTAAGAAATGAAAAATATCTAAATGGAATGCTGTCTGCAGGGCAACATTCGTGTTAGAAACATTTTTTAAAAAATTTTGTTTAAACAAATACTCCATTACTTAGTCATTGGCTCATCAGCAATATATACAGTGTGTATATATTTATATATATGTGTAAGTAAACTGATGTAGAAGTTGGCCGTTAATTCAACGCTTATCCAGCAATAATTGATATCTTAAAGGCAATCAAAACAGATAAACAGGGGCCATGAGTAGACATGTTATGATTAAAGGTAGTGCATCTCTATAATTTCTGCAGTACAGCCATTCTGTTCAAAACTTGATAATAGTAGCATTACAAGCCCCTGTGATCTGGATGAAATTTTCCAACACTGTAAACTCCATTCACAGGATATTGTTATATAGTTTGCCTTGGTTTCTGTTTCAATTCTACCTCTTATGTTTTTACCTAATCTTATATCCGGCCTATATAAAGATAGGTAGCGCAGTCATATGTAAATAAACCACTATCTCATTCTCATTGGAACACGGCTCCAATAGACATTGGACGCAAAACTGACCAAGCCAATGAATAATAATCATACAGCAGTAAGACATCTCCAATGTACATTGACTCTCAGATGATTTACTGAGTTTAACAGAAATGTTTCAGGATTGAAGTTCATGTCACTGGACAAATCATTCTGACACTATCTCTTGGTGTTGATGCCCAACCACAATACAAGGAATTTGATAGCTATGGATTGTCAGAATAATTTGGACTGGACATTGATAGATTGTCAGAATAATTTGGACTGGACAGTGATAGATTGTCAGAATAATTTGGACTGGACAGTGATAGATTGTCAGAATAATTTGGACTGGACAGTGATAGATTGTCAGAATAATTTGGACTGGACATTGATAGATTGTCAGAATAATTTGGACTGGACAGTGATAGATTGTCAGAATAATTTGGACTGGACAGTGATAGATTGTCAGAATAATTTGGACTGGACAGTGATAGATTGTCAGAAGAATTTGGACTCAATACAATTTCAGTGCAGATATATTACTCCAATAAATTTTACAGTGAAATGTGCCCTTGAGATACAGCATATTAGTCAGATCTACCCTCCAATCCAGTATTCTGTGAGACAGATAAGGCAGGGCATCTGTATACACAGGTTATTTAAGGCAGTTGTTAGAAGGTCATATGTAAACCTGTTGTCACTCTGCTGCAAGAAAATCCATTTGAACTGCTGCCTGTTGCCCTGGTAACATATCAACTGTTAAACTCCATATTGCCATGGTGATGTAACTCTCATAAATATTGTAGCTACATACTACTACCCCATATATTTATATTGAAGTTATTACTTAAGCCATGTACAAACCAAAAGTAGAATACATTATGGTAAGCGGGTGTGTGTTTTTATGGTCAAGGGTTGGCATAGTTACATTGAACCCAGTGTATATGTGACAAGGTGTAAATGGTTAGTAAGATAAGAAGTGACAGACGGACATTTTGTTTTTATTCTGTTGCTATGGTGACAGCTTCCCTGTTGGTTTTAATACTATTATATGCAGTCATTCATGTGTAAACTGTTTTAACATCAGTTCTAGGAGGGGGAAGGGGGAAAGGAACAAGAAACTATTACAACTGTAAGGCCATAGTGAAACCTGTTGAATCTGACACCCAAGGTAATGGACTTCTGTCTTCATTAACTGTTTGGTTTAGACAAGAAATCAGAAAACATCGGTCAGGTTTAGTTATAAACAGCCATATTAAGATCAAACAGGATGTCAGGGTCAGAATAGACAGGATGTCAGGGGTCAGATTAGACAGGATGTCAGGGGTCAGATTAGACAGGATGCTAGGGTCAGATTAGACAGGATGCTAGGGTCAGATTAGACAGGATGTCAGGGGTTAGATTAGACAGGATGTCAGGGGTCAGATTACACAGGATGTCAGGGGTAAGATTAGACAGGATGTCAGGGGTCAGATTAGACTCTGGTGGTCTGATTAGACAGGATATTTGGAAACTCAAGATTCAGATAAGAAAGGATTTCTGAGTACTCAGTGGTCAGATTAGACAGGTTGTCCGAACTTTGGTGTCAGATTACATGGGTTCTGTTCGTGGTTTTCTAACGTCACTGGCATCCGATCTGTACGACTCTCACCAAGTTTATAGATAGAATGATCTTGTCTAACCCCCACATAATTACTGCTAGATTCTTCTCTGTGTGTAGTACTTGGTCCGATGGTAGGTCATTTTCTTGTGAGGATGACTTGTTTGCCAACTTTTAACAAATGTGTATGTAACTTGAAACATATAGACTAGATATTTAACTCTCGTGATCGAATGTATTGAACAATATACATTGGTAATGATAACAATAAACCTATTACAAAATGTTGACCTGACTTCGTATTTATTTCATTGTCTTTATGTCACACAATGTGCCCATTTGATTTCGAGTCTGATCAGAGGAAATAAAATGGTTGGCAGGTGGCCATCTTGGATTTGGCAGGTAAAAACTATCATCGCTATTTCTGCACAGGAATGTTCAAATGTTGTTGGATGAATAATAGAAGATAAATACAAACAAAAAATCAATTTAATGGTCGATAATTTGTGAACAAAAAATGTATATATCAGAATAAGGGCATGACAAAATGTAGAAATGTAAATATATTGGACAAATGAAAAAGAACGAAATTTAAGCAACTTGTAGGGAAGCTAGATTTTATTTCGTGTGTACGCAAATTTGCTCACTGACTCGCAGAGAAAATTTAGTTTCTAGAAGGTTTTCGGCAGAAATTGTGCTCATAAAAACTTGTATTGTATATGTATATATTTCTACATTTATCAATTTGTGAATCTCATTTTTACTTCAGTTTAACTCAACGGCAATTTTAATTCTGAAGTTACGAGTTGAATGCGCTGAATAAGATTGATACTAATTTCAAATGCACTGGAAAAAAACCTAATAATGCTTAAAATTACGTTATATCACATATTCAAATCGACATTACTCAAGTTGAACAAGCATGTGTTCGATTTTTTTTTATTGATTTGTTGATTTTAATCATTTTTTTACTTAGAAACCGTAATCGATAACTTAAGTATTAAGTGTCAGGGTGGTCGGGTGGCGCAGTGTTAACGCACTCGCCTTTCACCTAGCCGACCGGGGTTCGATTCCCGGAACGGACGTGAAAAGGTAAGGGGTCACCTGTCCGACCGCGTGGGTTTTCCCCGGGTACTCCGGTTTCCTCCCACAATAAGGCCCCTCGCGCGCTTACATCCGGGCCAACAAGAGTGATTAGTATAAGTTTAAATAACTTGTTTCGCAATTGTTGTAAAACAAATAAAGTTTATATTTATAAGTGTCAGTCGTCAAAATAAATAGCGCCAAGAAATTGCTCTCTTCTTGATTTCAGCGTTATAATGGCAAAATAGTCTTTCGGTTCGAATTTTCATTTCCTTGATCTGAAATGATATGCACCTGATGTGGAAAAGTTAATTAAATGATTTGAAAAGATCTGATGGAACTGAAATAAAAGAATACAATTTTATGTAACGGTTGTCAATTAACTCGAAACTCTACGCTGAAAAATAAACTTAAGTTTTATCAAAATATCGTTATTGGAACCTAATGACTAGAACCTTTACCTGTTTGCTGACGTGAACAAATGATAAAAAAAATGAGGTGGAGGATGTTTGAAATGATGAACTCATGTAAATTTCTCCGGTTACTTTTTGCAACAAAGCCTACAGCGAAGTATTAAAAATAATATATATATATGTAAATATAACATATAACAAAAAGGGCAAGCAAGAATTGGTCTGTGTTGTTATAAACTGTCATATACTTATTAGTACATTAGAATTTATACTTTGGTACTTTAAGGTGGTTGATGACGTAATCTATGACGTCACACTTTCTTTACGTCTTTCTTCTGATCCGATTATATCGATGAAACCCATTAATGCATCTGACATGATTTTCCAACTTTTTTTTTTGGAAGTGTGTATGATTGATAACAATAATGACGTAAATATGTCGTGACGTCATACGCAAGTATACGAAATGTTATCACTGATCAATAAACGGGGAAATATGACGAAAATAAAAAAAATGGTTTGACGACGACATAGATCACATGTATGACGTCACAGCTGCATGATATTTTGTTATCGCTTTTAAACTGTCCTTTTCCCTGTTTTCCCGCCATTCTTGATGGCGTTGTTGTGTTTTAAACAGCACAAACACTTCTAAAAAATACATCAACTGCAACTCGTTTTGTTTTGGTACTTTTTGTCAACGAGGTTGACCGCAACACAGTCGATGTCCAGCCAGTATTACATTCTGCGAAGGTGATTTCTCTGTTTGACGTGACGTAAAACTTCTTTATGATGTCGAACAATTGGTATTTCACTGTTTCGTCTCAGACTGGAAGGACTACCACGGCCTTTATTGACAACATTAAGGAACGAAGGCACTTCCGTTTTAAGCTCTATTCGATAATTTGTGGTTTTACCTCCGACACAGAAGAGTCTACATCGTCCGTTGGGTTTTCTTCATTTGAAGATTCCTTCACATCGTTGATCACGGTATTATCGCGATTTGTCTGTGTGTCTTCTCCATCTGTCGTTTCCGTCAAATCTTGGATCGACTTTGCAGTATCAAAACTGCAAGTGGTTGGTTGTTCGGAGCCGACTTCCGAGTTCATTGGTGTCACAGAATTAATTTTCGGCGCCTTTTCCCCAGTTTGCATCAAACCGTTGACCATTGTCTTAAACCCCGAATGACCCCTATCTTCTGTTTTATTGAATTTGATTTTGAACACAGTTGTAGACATCAGCTTATTCCATCTTTGTTTCTGAAATTTCCTCTTCCGCTGTTTAAGTTTTTCTCGTGACTGCGCATGCGTGTAATACAATGTGAAATTATTGACAATGGCAGGAACAGACAGGGCAATGACCAAGACACCAGAAATGGCACATAACGATCCAACAAGAAAACCAAGTCCAGATTTTGGCGTCATATCACCATAACCGACGGTCGTCATGGTAACGATAGCCCACCAAAAGGCAAGCGGGATGTGTTTGAAGTCGCTCTCTTCGGTTGAGAATATTTCCATATAATATTCGATACAGGCAAATATAACTACGCCAATTATCACAACTAGGAGCAACAAAAACAGTTCTTTTGTGCTCGCCTTGATTGTGTATATCAAGATTTTCAAAGCCAAGAAGTGTTTCATCAGGATAAAAATCCTGAATATTCGAAGGACACGAAAGGCGAAAAGCACCCTTATGAACGTAAACAGTTTTATAGGGTCCGGGTGCAGAAAGACGATTGCCACAGCAATGTAGTATGGGACGATGCATATGGCTTCTATAATGGTCAGTGGTGTGGTGAGAAAGTCTTTCTTGGACGGTGCCGTCAGCAGCTTCACTAGAAACTCTAAGAAGAAGAACACGTTACACGAATTGTCTATAATAAGCAGTGTATCGTAGGGTGTGATGTCATAGAATATATCCAACTCCTTACGTAACATCTCGCTCGTGATGTTTGAACGTGAGCTTGTGGCATGCACTGTGAGTGCTTCAAAGTACGGAAGCGTCTCGAGGATGAAGACGGAAATTGACAAAAGTACTACCAGCAGTGACGTAACGGCATACATCTGTAAAAAAAAACAAAACAAAAATGTATTACGTGTGTATGACATTTCACGGTGACAATGGTAATTTATTCTAGAATAATCAAATGTAAAACAATACAAACTGTCGGGTATGCATAGGAAACTAAAAAGACGCAACTGTAGGAATAAAATGAACATACCATGTAATATCATGTAAAGATAATACAATGCCCTCTTTGATGTTTTGATCATAAATTTAAATTTAACAGTTATAGAGTGAAATGTAGTATACACCCTTAATACAAACTTATTACAGTTATAAAGTGAAATGCAGTATACACCCTTACCACAAAATAATTACAGTTATAAAGTGAAATGCAGTTATGTATAAAGGATCCAGATTGGCTTTCTATTTGATGTTAGAAGTTTTTCAAAAAGTTTTTTTTATTGTAAAGAGCTTGTGGTGGGGAATTTCAATGTTAAAAAAGTTAAATAACCCTTAGCACAAATTTACCTATAATGTCTACATCCTTAACTGGGTGCATTTATTCACGAACAAGGTATACATTATAAGGGGTTTAAACTCGTATACACGGCACATCGCCCCGGTATTACTTCTCCTTCATCACTTCCTCCCTCTTCTCGCCCATCCCTTGGCCTTTATTGTTTAGGGTTACCAATAATTCGATGAAATATTTCCTCCCCCTCCCCTAATCGCCCATCTCTCCAAGGATCCAACACAATACTCTTTTTTGTCGTAAGTAATCGTATACCCTCAAAGTTCAAAGTTCAGAATTCCGTCCGTCCCTCCTACTCAGAACCCGTCCTTCAGTCCGTTGTTACCGCCCCTCCCCCATTTCCCTCACTTCCGTGAACCTGTATATACATGTAGCACCAGTAAGATGTCTCATTGTAATGGCATACCGCGTCTCCTGGAAGACTGGTCAAATTCGGAAAATATTTATGAGGAAATAAATTGACATACGGTATTATATTACATGCGCCTGTTTCATTTGAATGTTTTACTGTGAAATTGGCGTCAAAATACCACCGTTATGTAACTTGTCACTGCGAGAGACCTGTCTCCAGTGGTGCACATAAAAGTCACGCATATCCAGCAGATTTAACGATCGTTTTACCTTCGGATTTAGGAATCAATAATCAATTTTGGTTTTGGACAGAAATCAAAATTTTGACTCGGATTAAATAGTTTTACGAGCTGTGGTATGCATCAGAGTTTATTTATAAAAATTTCGCACAGGTATCGGTTTCCTTTTTTTTTAAGAAAATGGAGAAATGAAATATGATAAATTTCCGTGGCATACTTTAACTGTCGTGTTAGAGTGGCAACTTAGCTGATGTTTCTTTTATAAAAAAAAAATAGAGAAAACATTTGGCAACATTTATCATAGCAATAATTGATAGAGAGATTGCTTTTCTTTACAATAACTGTGAAGATTTTCAATTCCGTAGGTCGGTTTTTGTTACCTAAAAAAGGTTCAAATTTCGTGTTACACTGTTGCCAGTTAGTACCATCAGTCGTACACAGATTTCACGTCATTCGTTTTGGCAGTAACGTCCACCTCGAGCGTTCTTTGTCGCCCTCACTCTTCAGTTCTTTTTCTTTTTTTTTCGAAATTAAAATAGCGATATGTAAAGCCATACATCCTTGCTAGGGCTTCATTTTAAATACCAAATGCAACTGGTTTTCTTTCATTCGGCTTGAAAAAAAATTGCTAAAAAAATTCTTATTCAAGTTTTGGATGTGGGTTTCATGTGGTCAAACCAATCGTATTAAATCAAGACATCGTCATCAGAACTCTAAATATAGATTTACCATTTTAAATAAAGCGTGATTATTTCAAATAAACTTTTATTTGCTTTCATTTTATTTTATTAATGAATCCCAACGACTGTCCTATTCAGGTTTCCTAGTACGTTATCAAATTTGAGAATTTTCTTTGACAGTACAATACAGTCAACCTCTAGTTCCTCACCATTTATACACAGATAATAAGAGGACTGGCCTGATTAAAAATACAGTATTAAATCTCTCCGTTTGTTGACAAAAGTTTGTTACATACAATAAACAGTAGTGTTCTTTAAATACAAACAACCCCGTATATCAGAAAGGTATTGGGACCGAACAGTCGGTCAATGTTCTACATGGTTTGAAAATGGTAATTAGTTCAAACACGTGTGACATATCGTGCAGTTCACTATCAAACACGTGTGACACATCGTGTAGTTCACTATCAAACTCGTGTGACACATCGCGTAGTTCACTATCAAACTCGTGTGACATATCGTATAGTTCACTATCAAACACGTGTGACATATTGCGTAGTTTACTATCAAACACGTATGAAATATCGTATAGTTCACTATCAAACACGTGTGACATATCGTATAGTTCACTATCAAACACTTGTGACATATCGTATAGTTCACTATCAAACACTTGTGACATATCGTGTAGTTCACTATCAAACTCGTGTGGCATATCGCGTAGTTCACTATCAAACTCGTGTGACATATCGTATAGTTCACTATCAAACACGTGTGACATATCGTGTAGTTTACCATCAAACACGTGTGACATATCGTGTATTTCACTATTTACAATGTATATTATAAGCATCTGTGATAAATATACATTTTATATGTTGACCTTCCATCATTTTTTATACAATATTAATTATTCCACTAATAACAAATCTACAGGGTGATGTATTGAGGCCTACTCTATTCTATATTAAAGATGTTATTTTATTGATGGTATCGTTAATAGTTTATGAAATTTGATTAAACCAACTCCACATTTTAAAGCAGAACACGCGTTAGTAAAGCTTTTTTCTATAGTAAACAACAGATACACGCATCGATGTGATTTTAAAGACGATTTTTGTTGTTTGACATTTTATCGCCCTGTTTTACTAGTAACTAGACGAGTTGATCAGATGCTGCGTGTTTAATTGATTATTGCACATTGTGTGTACTGTGTAAATATAAATTTTAATTTTATGGGGCTCACAAAACACGGGGGGCATCACTGTGTAAATATAAATTTTAATTTTGTGGGGCTCACAAAACACGGGGGGCATCACTGTGTAAATATAAATTTTAATTTTGTGGGGCTCACAAAACACGGGGGGCATCACTGTGTAAATATAAATTTTAATTTTGTGGGGCTCACAAAACACGGGGGGCATCATTGTGTAAATATAAATTTTAATTTTGTGGGGCTCACAAAACACGGGGGGCATCACTGTGTAAATATAAATTTTAATTTTGTGTGGCTCACCAAACACGGGGGGCATCACTGTGTAAATATAAATTTTAATTTTGTGGGGCTCACAAAACACGGGGGGCATCACTGTGTAAATATAAATTTTAATTTTGTGGGGCTCACAAAACATGGGGGGCATCACTGTGTAAATATAAATTTTAATTTTGTGGGGCTCACAAAACACGGGGGGCATCACTGTGTAAATATAAATTTTAATTTTGTGGGGCTCACAAAACATGGGGGGCATCACTGTGTTAAATATAAATTTTAATTTTGTGGGGCTCACAAAACATGGGGGGCATCACTGTGTAAATATAAATTTTAATTTTGTGGGGCTCACAAAACACGGGGGGCATCACTGTGTAAATATAAATTTTAATTTGGTAGGGCTCACCAAACACGGGGGGCATCACTGTGTAAATATAAATTTTAATTTTGTGGGGCTCACAAAACACGGGGGGCATCACTGTGTAAATATAAATTTTAATTTTGTGGGGCTCACAAAACACGGGGGGCATCACTGTGTAAATATAAATTTTAATTTTGTGGGGCTCACAAAACACGGGGGGCATCACTGTGTAAATATAAATTTTAATTTTGTGGGGCTCACAAAACACGGGGGGCATCACTGTGTAAATATAAATTTTAATTTTATGGGGCTCACAAAACACGGGGGGCATAATTGTGTAAATATAAATTTTAATTTTATGGGGCTCACAAAACACGGGGGGCATCATTATGTAAATATAAATTTTGATTTTATGGGGCTCACAAAACACGGGGGGCATCATTATGTAAATATAAATTTTGATTTTATGGGGCTCACAAAACACGGGGGGCATCATTATATAAATATGAATTTTAATTTGGTAGGGCTCACAAAACACGGGGGGCATCATTGTGTAAATATAAATTTTAATTTGGTGGGGCTCACAAAACACGGGGGGCATCATTGTGTAAATATAAATTTTAATTTTGTGGGGCTCACAAAACACGGGGGGCATCAGTATGTAAATATAAATTTTAATTTGGTAGGGCTCACAAAACACGGGGGGCATCATTGTGTAAATATAAATTTTAATTTTATGGGGCTCACAAAACACGGGGGGCATCATTGTGTAAATATAAATTTTAATTTGGTAGGGCTCACAAAACACGGGGGGGGCATAATTGTGTAAATATAAATTTTAATTTTATGGGGCTCACAAAACACGGGGGGCATCATTATGTAAATATAAATTTTAATTTGGTAGGGCTCACAAAACACGGGGGGCATCATTGTGTAAATATAAATTTTAATTTTGTGGGGCTCACAAAACACGGGGGGCATCATTGTGTAAATATAAATTTTAATTTTGTGGGGCTCACAAAACACGGGGGGCATCATTGTGTAAATATAAATTTTGATTTTATGGGGCTCACAAAACACGGGGGGCATCATTATGTAAATATAGATTTTGATTTTATGGGGCTCACAAAACACGGGGGGCATCATTGTGTAAATATAAATTTTAATTTTATGGGGCTCACAAAACACGGGGGGGCATCATTGTGTAAATATAAATTTTAATTTTATGGGGCTCACAAAACACGGGGGGCATCATTATGTAAATATAAATTTTAATTTGGTAGGGCTCACAAAACACGGGGGGCATCATTTTGTAAATATAAATTTTAATTTTATGGGGCTCACAAAACACGGGGGGCATCATTATGTAAATATAAATTTTAATTTGGTAGGGCTCACAAAACACGGGGGGGGGCATCATTGTGTAAATATAAATTTTAATTTTATGGGGCTCACAAAACACGGGGGGCATCATTATGTAAATATAAATTTTAATTTGGTAGGGCTCACAAAACACGGGGGGCATCATTGTGTAAATATAAATTTTAATTTGGTAGGGCTCACAAAACACGGGGGGCATCATTGTGTAAATATAAATTTTAATTTTGTGGGGCTCACAAAACACGGGGGGCATCATTGTGTAAATATAAATTTTAATTTTATGGGGCTCACAAAACACGGGGGGCATAATTGTGTAAATATAAATTTTAATTTTGTGGGGCTCACAAAACACGGGGGGCATCATTGTGTAAATATAAATTTTAATTTTGTGGGGCTCACAAAACACGGGGGGCATCATTGTGTAAATATAAATTTTAATTTTATGGGGCTCACAAAACACGGGGGGCATCATTATGTAAATATAAATTTTAATTTGGTAGGGCTCACAAAACACGGGGGCATCATTGTGTAAATATAAATTTTAATTTTATGGGGCTCACAAAACACGGGGGGCATCATTATGTAAATATAAATTTTAATTTGGTAGGGCTCACAAAACACGGGGGGCATCATTGTGTAAATATAAATTTTAATTTTATGGGGCTCACAAAACACGGGGGGCATCATTATGTAAATATAAATTTTAATTTGGTAGGGCTCACAAAACACGGGGGGCATCATTGTGTAAATATAAATTTTAATTTTGTGGGGCTCCCAAAACACGGGGGGCATCATTATGTAAATATAAATTTTAATTTGGTAGGGCTCACAAAACACGGGGGGCATCATTGTGTAAATATAAATTTTAATTTTGTGGGGCTCACAAAACACGGGGGGCATCATTGTGTAAATATAAATTTTAATTTTATGGGGCTCACAAAACACGGGGGGCATAATTGTGTAAATATAAATTTTAATTTGGTGGGGCTCACAAAACACGGGGGGCATCATTGTGTAAATATAAATTTTAATTTTGTGGGGCTCACAAAACACGGGGGGCATCATTGTGTAAATATAAATTTTGATTTTATGGGGCTCACAAAACACGGGGGGCATCATTATGTAAATATAGATTTTGATTTTATGGGGCTCACAAAACACGGGGGCATCATTATGTAAATATGAATTTTAATTTTATGGGGCTCACAAAACACGGGGGGCATCATTATGTAAATATAAATTTTAATTTGGTAGGGCTCACAAAACACGCTGGGGAGGGGCCATCATTTCAAACCTCCCATATCTTGGATCTTACTATTCAAGCTGGAAGTCGGGTTACACAATTTTTGCCAACAATGGTGTGCCCTAAGGATATAGATTTTTTTCTTATGTTTTTTATAATTTGTTGTATTGACATAACAGAATTAGGGTGGACACTTTCTGGTCCTATCGACATTTATATGGTTATAAATGACATACTCAGTACTTGATAAAATAGGATCATGTATGTAAACACCATATTGTTGGTTTTATTGGACCAGTAGTAATCTCGTATATCTGTACTGAACATTTTTCTGGCCTTTTAACCTTTTCGACTTGTACCTACACAGTAAAACCGTCCGATTATGTCACTCTCTGTGCCGTTTTGACAAAAAAGCAGCCATGTACTTCAATGAAGGCAAATAAATCAATTTAAAAACTAAACGAGAATATCCGTAAGACTCAAATGGCCCCGCTTACATTAAAACATATATTAGCACAATGTATATCATTATTTGATAAATTTCTGCAAATGGTAATGATGAGCTTGAAATACAAAGTCATACGAGGTATTTTTTGTAATATTGTTCTATCAGTGTACAAAGTTTTATCAAAATATGAAAAGTAAAGTCTTTGGAGTTGTTACAATGGATTGGCGGATGGCTTTCTATAAAATAAAGTAACGGTGAACTTAACCTTGACCTTGGCTGAGGAACTAGAAAACACAAACTCAACATGGTAATGTTCGACCTTTGTGCGAAGTTTGATCAAAATCCTTCAAAACATGAAACGAGTCATTGTATCTGAATTTTATGTTCTAATGCCTTGCTTTCGACGAAAGGCATTATATCCAGATATGGCAGAACATAAGTAAGGGGCAGTGCATCGAGATTGTAATACATATGTAAAGGTCAGTATATCGAGATTGCAGTACATATGTATAGGTCAGTATATCGAGATTGCAGTACATGTGTAAAGGTCAGTATATCGAGATTGCAGTACATGTGTAAAGGTCAGTATATCGAGATTGCAGTACATGTGTATAGGTCAGTATATCGAGATTGTAATACATATGTAAAGGTCAGTATATCGAGATTGTAATACATATGTAAAGGTCAGTATATCGAGATTGCAGTACATATGTAAAGGTCAGTATATCGAGATTGTAATACATATGTAAAGGTCAGTATATCGAGATTGCAGTACATATGTAAAGGTCAGTATATCGAGATTGCAGTACATATGTAAAGGTCAGTATATCGAGATTGTAATACATATGTAAAGGTCAGTATATCGAGATTGCAGTACATATGTAAAGGTCAGTATATCGAGATTGCAGTACATGTGTATAGGTCAGTATATCGAGATTGTAATACATATGTAAAGGTCAGTATATCGAGATTGCAGTACATATGTAAAGGTCAGTAAATTGAGATTTGACAGTACATCAGGACATTATTACTGTGCATCTGCTGCATACCCGCGACAAAACAAAAACACGTATCTTGTCCTCGTCATCAAAAATTCCCCCGATCTACTCTCGACCAAGTACCAATGAGTAATAAATAATACAACTATTCAATAAGAATTCACAAATGAAAAATGTAAATGGAATTTCATTAAATAGTTTCATACTAATATTGTTTTAACGTTGGGTTTGTTTATTGATGTCAATTCTTTTAAAAAGTACACAAAGCATAATGACATTTATCAGGTAAATATCTGGTAAGGGAGATAACTCTGATACGAAAATCATGGTTATAATTTTTAATATAGCATACAGTCTTAAATGTTTTAACCATACACAGTCGTATACGGTTTTTTAAGGTAGACTTACCGTGGCCCCTTTGGAGGAATAAGGGTCCTGTAAGGCTCTCCACATTTTGGGCCTGTAGCGGTACCAACAAGGATCGTCTGGTCCCACATTTCGTGCAGAGTTCTTTGCACGCTTATCATCCTGTTCAAATTTCTCGATCATTTCAAGCGTATCTTCGAAACTGATGTAATGAACCCAACAGCATTGTTCTATATCTTTATCGTCAATTTCCCAGAAATCAAGTTCCTCTCTTAATAGGGGACCACAAAGACTGATAGGCACATGTAATTTCCCTACTCGGTAAAAATTCAAAATGTACCCAAATAAGGTGGGATGGCGGTCAAAAAAATACTCTCGTTTTCCAGTCAGCCTTGCCGAATCGGCTAATTTAGCTAATCTGGTACTTGGAAATTGAGAAATGGTTTCTAGTTTTGTCTGGTGTTTAAATCCTCCTATATTCAAAGTGATAATTTCAGCGCCAACATCGTCGGTGCTGCTTCCTTCGCTCGTGGCACTTTGTACTCGTTTTGGTATTTTGATCCGCCCAGTCTCGTCCGTCATGACTTTGGCCGAATTTGGGCTGTTATTCTTATTTGGGATGTCGTTGTGTTCACCCGTTTCTGTGCTGACCGATATTTTCCCACTGGACATAATCTTGTCAGAACTACCCAGGATTTCTTTTTGATCACCTGTTGTCGTGTCCAAATGAACATGTGTAGCTGTAGTACAGTTATCACCGACCATTTCAACAGTTTCTTTATCATCAGATAGGCCAATTGACGTACCGTTCGAATTTGTCCGTTTGTCCTCACTTTTATCCCCACTCGACTTGACAGAAACTAATTTGACTGAATTTCTTCTTTCATTAGGTAATTTTGTTTTTTTCTTAGCTTTCTGGTCAGTTAGTTTGACTTTTCCTTTTTTACCCGGATCCATTTGAATTTGGTTTAGTAAGAAATGAATTAAAAGACAACAAAAATCAACATCATCCCTGCAACACTACACGTTCACTGCAACACTGCACGTTCGGTCTTCTCTGATGAATCGAAAACCCTATATGTCTTGATTTCCGAATGCGACAATATATATTCGGATTAAATTTATGCATATCAATGAAAATAAAATGATATTTAATATTCAGGAGACTGGCGTCTGTTAAAGATGTAATCCTACAGATAATTCCAAAGCTTCAAACCAAACCCTGGAGACAGATCCGTCTAACAATGGCGAATCGTTCACATTAATATCCTCACAAATCGTGTTTGAAATGTTTTAATCCAAGATGGAAACCATTTCAAACCCCTCAAACAGCGTGGAGCCCAATTCACTTTTACATCCCAATTTCGTAACACAATATTTCACTATGTGTTTTAGAATACGGGCTTTTAAAATACAACTTGCGGTCTTTCTCGATTAAAAGTCGACTTCCTCTTTCCTAAGTATTTGATTCACCTGGTAAACCGACAAGCACGCTATGTTTAAATAATTCCACGATCAGTTTTTTTTTTACACCGAAGAAATATGATCAACTTGTATTTTAACGGGTTCGTCTGTTAAACCATGTGTAATCCTCATTGAAAACAGCATAACGATCGGTACAATACTTATGTCGAGTAATACCTTGTAGCTTATTTGGTATTGTCCGAGTGTAGGTATCGAAAGCTAGTAAGGTATTATACACAATGAATATCTCTACAATAGAACGGGGCTCCTCTATACACAATAAAGGCGACTGCCTATTCACCTGGTCTATAATTTCTTCATTGTACAGGGAGCGCTGATCGTCAAACTTTATTTTTCTGCATTCTACAGCTACATTGATAGCTTTGTCTGCTTTTTACAGCTACATAGATAGCTTTGTCGGCTTTCTACAGCTACATATATAGCTTTGTCTGCTTTCTACAGCTACATATATAGCTTTGTCGGCTTTCTACAGCTACATATATAGCTTTGTCGGCTTTCTACAGCTACATATATAGCTTTGTCGGCTTTTTACAGCTACATGTATAGCTTTGTCTGCTTTTTACAGCTACATATATAGCTTTGTCTGCTTTTTACAGCTACATATATAGCTTTGTCTGCTTTCTACAGCTACATATGTAGTTTTGTCGGCTTTTTACAGCTACATAGATAGCTTTGTCTGCTTTTTACAGCTACATATGTAGTTTTGTCGGCTTTTTACAGCTACATAGAAAGCTTTGTCTGCTTTCTACAGCTACATATGTAGTTTTTTCGGCTTTCTACAGCTACATATATAGCTTTGTCTGCTTTTTACAGCTACATAGATAGCTTTGTCTGCTTTCTACAGCTTTGTCGGCTTTCTACAGCTACATATATAGCTTTGTCTGCTTTCTACAGCTACATATATAGCGTTGTCTGCTTTCTACAGCTACATGTATAGCTTTGTCTGCTTTTTACAGCTACATAGATAGCTTTATCTGCTTTTTACAGCTACATATGTAGTTTTGTCGGCTTTCGACAGCTACATTGATAGCTTTGTCGGCTTTCTACAGCTACATAGATAGCTTTGTCTGCTTTCTACAGCTACATATGTAGTTTTTTCGGCTTTCTACAGCTACATATATAGCGTTGTCGGCTTTCTACAGCTACATGTATAGCGTTGTCTGCTTTCTACAGCTACATAAATGACTTTGTCGGCTTTCTACAGCTACATAGATGACTTTGTCGGCTTTCTACAGCTACATAAATGACTTTGTCGGCTTTCTACAGCTACATGTATAGCTTTGTCGGCTTTCTACAGCTACATAGATGACTTTGTCTATGTCTGCTTTCTACAGCTACATAGATGACTTTGTCGGCTTTCTACAGCTACATAGATGACTTTGTCTATGTCTGCTTTCTACAGCTACATAGATAGCTTTGTCGCCTTTCTGCAACTAGATAAACAATGTATATATTGTAAGATATGGGAGACATACTTTAATGTTACGATTATAAGAAGATATATAGTTTTGTCGCCTTTCTACAGCTACATATATAGCTTTGTCGGTTTTCTACAGCTACATGTATAGCTTTGTCTGCTTTTTACAGCTACATATATAGCTTTGTCGGCTTTCTACAGCTACATGTATAGCTTTGTCTGCTTTCGACAGCTACATATATAGCTTTGTCGGCTTTCTACAGCTACATGTATAGCTTTGTCGGCTTTCTACAGCTACATGTATAGCTTTGTCGGCTTTCTACAGCTACATGTATAGCTTTGTCGGCTTTCGACAGCTACATATATAGCTTTGTCGGCTTTCTACAGCTACATATATAGCTTTGTCGGCTTTCTACAGCTACATGTATAGCTTTGTCTGCTTTTTACAGCTACATATATAGCTTTGTCGGCTTTTTACAGCTACATAGATATCTTTGTCTGCTTTCTACAACTAGATAAACAATGTATATATTGTAAGATACGGGAGACATACTTTAATGTTACGATTATAAGAAGATATCAAGCAATCCACCAGCTTTTCAGTTTACTATGTCTTATGATATTAAATGTGCATTATATATACTTTCTCTCCTATACTCGGCGTCAATGAAAACGCAACACCTTTAAATTACTGTCAAAATTTACCAGTTATAGTTTTGAATACAATATTTAATAAAATATCTAAAAGTTGATTATGTCCATTACAAAATTCACTCAATGCAATCAGCACTACATCATGGGAATACTTTGATTTCCGGTGACTAATGTCCATACCCCCAAAATCAAAATTACCACGTTCAATATCTAATGTGGCCACCATTTGCAGCGACACAAGCGCGGCATCTTCGAGGCATTGACCGAATAAGGCGCTGAATTTTGATTTGAGGAATATTCCTCCACTCTTCCTGAAGAGCGATTTCAAGCTGCCGACGCGTCTGGGGCTGTTGTGGTCGCTCTCTCACAGCCCTACCTAATTGGTCCCAAAGATGCTCGATCGGACTAAGATCCGGGGAAAACGCGGGCCACGGAAGGGTTGCGATGTTCTGATGATGAAGGTAGTCTGTAGTGATACGAGCGGTATGTGGTCGTGCATTGTCCTGTTGTAATAACGCTACGTTTGGGTGTCCAACAAAGAATGGAACAACAGCAGGAGTGAAGACCTCGTTGATGTAGCGCTGTGCTGTTAGATTGCCGTCAATAATTACTAGAGGGGTACGGTGCAAAAGAGATACCTCCCCACACCATCACACTGCCCCCGCCCCACCTATCCGTTTCCGTTACACAGCAGTCCAAAAACCGGCTGTGCGAAAGCGACGGCCCACAGTACTAGCTGACAAACGTCCCCCATGACTTCCTATCGTCTGTCTAGCCGTTCTTGTCGCGGTTTGAAAACGATCTCGCAGGTGACTTAGTCGAATGTAACGGTCCTGGTTTGGCGTCGTCACTCTCTGTCGCCCCGGACGAGGTCGATCTCTCACGGATCCGGTTTGTCGCACTCGTTCTGCCAGTCGATTGATTGTGGAAGCAGAACAACCCATTCTCCTGGCAACTTCCCTCTGAGAAAGCCCTCCTGCCAGCATACCCCGAGCTTCGTGTCTTTCATTGTCTGTCAGTCGAGGCATTTGTAGCAAATAATGATGACAATTTAAAAAATTGATGACGGAAAAATATCTGCCTGTAACTATAGTGTTCACTAGTAGTGACTGAGCAAAGATATAACGCACTTTAGAGCGCCGACGTGGAAACTCATGATGTGGTAAGACAAGGAGTTGATATTACTCGACCATTATTTCGTTAGTTTTGTAGTGCATTGTGTTGTGGCTAAATACAGCAGAATAAGAATCTAATCCTTGTTGTGAAGAATATATTATGTCCAAAATTTTAGTGTTGCGTTTTCATTGGCGCCGAGTATATATTAAAGGGTTTGGGCCAGAATGTCCATGATATAAAAGTTAGCCCTCTCCCACCAGGGAACAAGTACACATACAGCACGTTTTTCTTACGTCAAAGAATTATTATTCCAAATAAAAAGGATATTCACACCAAGATAAAGAACTGTTCAGAGTTGTCTCCTTATTATAAGATGAAACTGAAATATTGGGAATAAATCAGAAAGGACAAATAATAATGGGGAAAGGAGAAAAATAACTATTAACCAGCATTCATCTCATTATCGATACAAGTTGAATTAACTATATCTATGGAAGGATATCAATTTTTTCCAATTACATTTTGTCTTGGTTTTAGATTTGTTCTATAATTTTAACTCAGTAGATATTTAGTCAGACATTAAAGCCTTTCTGTATCATCAATATACTTAATTACAGCATCAAACAATGATTTATTGATGTGGGTGGTACAGATTGGGCAGCCATGCAGAACATAGTTTAGTTCATAGAGGTTATAATCATGGTTGTTTAGAGTTTGTAATACACTTTGTCTAGGGTTAATATATCTAGGGCAGTCAAAAAAGAAATGTTAAGCTGTTTTAGTTGGGGTACCACATGCACAAGATGTGTCTTCATAAAGATGGTCTTTATGTAGATCATGATATAGAGAACTGGCTGAATCCCTTAGCTGACAGAGAATGATATTTAATTGTCTTGGTCCTCCTTCTCTAAAAATGATGTTATTCTTACAAGCTGGAGGATTTGTCCTAGACAGAGTTTTTTCAAAGTGCCATACAGAGTGAATATTATTTAAGAGATTACTACTTATTTTTATTAAATTCAAATATCATGTTTGGAAAGAAACTATCCATATAGCTTACAGTTCGACAAATACGTTCATTAAAGATTCTGATCTTTCGAAGTTGATACGTTGACTCTTCAAAATTGTTTTTACAAGGCTGGATAAGTATTTAGGTGTTTATTTGTTTTTGATTTTGTACATTAAGATCATTTTGTGTTTTGTGTAATCTAAGGACATCCAATCCAGTTCTGAATAAGGTTTTTCATATGAGGTACCTCTGGTAACCCAGTTATTGACCTTGTAG